CAATCCAGCTTCCTGTTAATGTGCACCCAGGGAGGCAGCAGGTGATGGCTCGAGTACTTGGGTCCCTGACACCCATGTGGAAGGCTTGGATGCTATTCTGGGCTGTTGACTTGGGCCTAGTCCAGTCTTGGCTGTTGGGCATCTGGGGAGTGAATTCGTGGATGGAAGATTCATTCTCTCTCTCTCCTCTCCTCTCTCTTCTCTTCTCTGTGTGTGTGTGTGTGTGTATGTGTGTGTGTGTGTGTGCCTTTAAATAAAATGAAATAAATAATTTTTAAAAGATGAAGCTTAAAAAATAAATGGAACAATGATAACAAAAAACTAATTTGTTAGAAGTCTTTGCTGACTGGCCAGGAATAGTTTTCTGTTAGGAGTTGTTGGGCACTGCTGTGAATGCCTTCTTTATTTCTAAAATTATAATAAAATGCTTTATCATAGTTAGACATTTCTCTCCTCCAGGTTGCTTTTCCCCCAGGGAAACTCTTTAGTGTTTCAATTTAAGTACAGTCATGCAACACTTTGATGCCTACACACCCCTGCCCTATCACCCTCTTTCGGTTTCATGCAGTAACTGTGAAACTTAAAGGTTAGCAGTAGTTCAAAAATGTGTACTGAGGTACATTTCTTTGGCCTATGAAGTCATTCAGCTCCAAGCAGCATGGATGACGTTATGGTGAGGTTTACTCACTTTGTCCCATCTGCCTTCATCCTGTTCATGACAGTTCCATAATTATAAGGTTGTTTGTACCTGTGTAGAGATCACTAGATCTAACTATTAGATCATGTGGGAGCAAAAGTATTAGTTTATCATTTTCCTCTCTATAGTTATGGTCAGATTTAGCATTAGAGGAAAAGAAGACTATAAGTCAATTTTGAGAATAAAACTGATTTCTTGTGTCATTTTCTCTCACCACATTGCTTTATTTTAAAAAATATATCAATGACAAAATAAAAGTTGCACAAAAGCATCTTCCTTCAAAAGCACTACCTACCCACAAATACATTTCTACGCAGATCCAGCCCTGGTCTGCTTCTACCACAGCAGCTTCCCAAAATGCTCCTAGGAATTCTACTGACTCTTTATAGAAGGCCCTGATTCATGGCAAGTCCTGTGATTTTTGAACTCAGTGTCATTTTTACTTTTAATTTGTATTCATATTCAGAAAATGCAGACTGAAAAATAAGAGCCAGAAAGCTGTTATGTTTTCAGTGGCTTCAGAAATTTCTATTCTTGTGTTTTTGGTAACTGTTTTCTCATTTGCAGCTGCTCGTACAAGGGGAAACAAGCAGTTTTGTTCAGAATCAATATTTTAATCATTCTTAGTAGGGAAGCAGAGAAAATAATTACTCTTTCACCTTCCTGATTTGAGTTTCAGTAAATTAATTCATCTCAAATTTGATAGAGGGGCTCCTTAGTTTTGACATGGAAAAATTCTTATGGAAAAGTAGCACTTTTTTTTTTTTTTTTAAGATGTATTTTTTTCAAAGTCAGAGTTACACAGAGAAGGAGAGAGAGATAGCTTCCATCTGCTAGTTCATTCCCCAGTTGTCTGCAACAGCCAGAGCTGTGTTGATCTGAAGACAGGAGCCAGGAGCTTCTTCTAGGTCTCCCGCATGGGTGCAGGGGCCCAAGGACTTGGGCCTTCTTCCACTGCTTTCCCAGGCCATAGCAGAAAGCCGGATCAGAAGTGGAGCAGCCAGGACTTGAACCAGCGCTCATTTGTGATGCCGGCACTGCAGGCAGTGGCTTCACCTGCTATGCCACAGCACCTGCCCCAAGCACTTGGTTTTTTAATGTTTGTTTGAAAGGCAGAGGGAGAGAAAGATCCTCCATCTGCTGGTCCACTCTTTTTTTTATTTTTTTTTTTTATTTTTTTTGACAGGCAGAGTGGACAGTGAGAGAGAGACAGAGAGAAAGGTCTTCCCTTTTGCCGTTGGTTCACCCTCCAATGGCCACCGTGGCCGGCGCGCTGCAGCCAGCGCGCTGCAGCCAGCACACCATGCTGATCTGAAGCCAGGAGCCAGGTACTTATCCTGGTCTCCCATGGGGTGCAGGGCCCAAGCACTTGACCCATCCTCCACTGCACTCCTGGGCCACAGCAGAGAGCTGGCCTGGAAGAGGGGCAACCAGGACAGAATCCGGCACCCCGACCGGGACTAGAACCCGGTGTGCCGGCGCCGCAGGCGGAGGATTAGCCTAGTGAGCCACAGCGCCGGCCTTGGTCCACTCTTCAAATGCCCACATCAGCCGGGGCTGGGCCAGGTGGAAGCCAGGAGCTGAGAACTCCATCCAGGTCTCCCGTGTAGGTGGCAGGGACCCAGGTACTTAACCCATCACTTTCTGCCTCCCAGAATGCACATTAGCAGGAAGCTGATCAAAGGCAGAAGCAGCAAAGTAGCCAAGATCACACTGGCAATCTTGATAGATTTGGCATCCCAAGTGATGGCTTAACCCATTGTGTCACAACATTTCCACTCAAACGCTTGATATTGTACAAAAATGACTTTCACGTTATTTAACATGAAAGGGGAGGGACTTTAAAATTTGCCTTTGTGGGGCCAGAGTTGTGGCACAGTGAGTTAAGCCACTGCCTGCTATTGCCAGCATCTCATATGGGCATTGGTTCAAGTACTAGCTGCTCCACTTCTGATACAGCTCCTTGCTAATGTGCCTAGGAAAGCTGTAGAATATGGCCCAAGTGCTTGGGCCCCTGAACCCACATGGGAGACCTGGATGAAGCTCCTGGCTCCAGATTTTGGCCTGGCCCACCCCTGGTCGTTGCGGCCATTTGGGGAGTGAATCAGTGGATGGAAGATTGTCTCTATCCCTCCCTCTCTCCCTCCCCTTCCCTCCCCTTCCCTCCCCTTCCCTCCCCTTCCCTCCCCTTCCCTCCTCTTCCCTCCCCTCCCCTCCCCTCCCCTCCCCTCCCCTCCCCTCTCTCTCTGTCTCTCTCTCTCTCTCTCACCTCTCGCATGTAACTCTGACTTTGAAATAAAATAATCTTTAAAAAAAAATTTGCCCTATACTTTGTTGCAGCATTGCAGTGGTGGGTTTAGCAAAGTGAACACTTGTACATTGTACAAAAGTTAGTGCACTTAGGAAATGAGAGGGGAGATCTACCAATTTCTCTAACCTTTGTTTGCATTTGATATAAAATGACTTAAATATTCCTTTTTTTAAAAGATTCATTCATTTATTTGAAGGCAGAGTTACAGTGAGAGAGTGAGAGGCACAGAGAGAGGTCTTCTATCTGCCGGTTCACTCTCCAAATGGCCACAGTGGCGAGGGCTGGACCATTTGGACGAGGCCAAAGCCAGGAAACAAGAACTTCTTCCAGGTTTCCCACATGGGTGCAGGCGCCCAAGCCTTTGGGTCATCTTCTACTGCTTTCCCACGGGCATTAACAGGGAGCTGAAATGGAAGTGGAGCAACCATGACATGAACTGGCACCCATATGGGATGTCCGCGCTGTAGACAGCAACTTAACCAACTGTGCCACAATGCTGGACCCAACTAATGATATTCTTAGCCCCATTAACTTTTATCAATACATTGCTGCTGGAATTTAATCTAGTATTTACTTATGATTAGATATATTACATATTTCTCTTTACTTTTTTTTTTTAAAGAGTTATTTATTTAGAAAGAGTTAGAGGGAGACACACAGAGAGGGCTTCTGACTACTTGTTCACTTACCAGATGGCGACAACAGCCAGCTCTGGGCCGGGCTGAAGCCCCAAGCCAGGAGCTCCATCCAGGGGCCCAAACATTTGAGCCATCTTCCACTGTTTTTCCCAGGCTACTATCAGGGAGCTGGGTCACAATTGAAGCAGCCAGGTCACAAACCAGCAACCATATGAAATGCTGGCATTGCAGGCTGTGGCTTTACCTACTACATAACGCCAGTCCATCTTCATTGTTGTAAAAAGTTTTCTCCTCAGTTAAAATAATATACAGTGAGTCTGGGATCTGGGAATAGAAAAATCCCAGTTCTTCCTGTAAGGAACCTCATCTATCTTGGTCACTCACAGTTTTCCTGGAACCTAGATGGTGCCTGACATAAATTCTGAGAAAAGTGTTTGTTTAAAGAATGACTGAGGGGCCGGCACTGTTGCATATCCGGTAAAAGTAGCAACAGTTCAAGTCCTGGCTGCTCCTCTTCCGATCCAGCTCTCTTCTGTGGCCTGGGATAGTAGTAGAAGATGGCCCAAGTGCTTGGGCCCCTGCACCTGCATAGGAAGCCTGGAAGAAAGCTCCTGGCTTCAGATCAGCTCAGCTCCAGCTGTTAATGGCCATTTGGAGAGTGAACTAGCATATGAAAGACCTTTCTCTGTCTCTCCCACTCTATGTAACTCTGCCTTTCATATAAATAAATAAATAAATAAATCTTAAAAAAAAAAAAAAAAAGACCTTGCGGCTGGCGCTGTGGTGCAGTGGGTTAATGTCCTTGAAGTGCCGGCCCCCCATATGGGCACCAGTTCTAGTCTCGGCTGCTCCTCTTCCAATCCAGCTCTCTGCTGTGGCCTGGGAAAGCAGTGGAAGATGGCCCAAGTCCTTGGGCCCCTGTGACCACATGGGTGACCTGGAGGAAACTCCTGGCTCCTGGCTTCTGATCAGCACAGCTCCAGCCGTTGTGGCCAGTTGGGGAGTGAACCATCAGATGGAAGACCTCTCTCTCTCTCTCTGCCTCTCCTCTCTCTGTGGAACTTTCACTTTCAAATAAATAAATAAATAAATCTTTTTTAAAAAAAAAAACAAGAATGAAAGAACTGCGTTTTGTGATTTTTGTGAAGTGTGTGGTTTTCTTTAATGCACTTTTTGCTTTATATGTTAGGCAAGGGTGACTGCGTTAGGAATTTCAGCAGACTGAAGGGAAGTCAATGCTTGAATGACTCTCACAGAGACTAATGATATTTAAGGGCCAAAGGGAAGGTGGTGGGAAATATTCCCTGGATGTTCCAGCTCCATTAAAGTATTCCCACTTTTTGCATCTCCCCAGGAGCACTCACTGTGGGCCTTGTGCGACAGTGTCAAACAATCCACGGACGAGATCGGACGTGCATCCCTCCCCGGCTTCCCCCAGAGTGGATCACCACACTGTTTTTTATCATTATGGGAATCATTTCATTGACTGTCACATGTGGTTTGCTGGTGGCTTCCCACTGGCGAAGAGAAGCTACAAAATATGCTCGATGGATAGCATTCACTGGAAGTAAGTAGCCTGTGCTTACTAAATTTGTATAGAAGGCACCCACACTGGTATTTCTGTGAAGATAATCAAGAATCAGTAATAAGGACTTCATAATCATCAAAGAGCACCACTTGCGTATGGTCAAGAGATAGACTCTGCACAGTCCCATCAGTTCTTCAAAATGCTTACAAGACCAGGACGTCCACAACTTCAGTTGCTTTGCATGAATGCTATTTTAATCAATTTTATTTTTGCTCACATTGTGACATAAGCCAGGTTTGTGACTCAGAGCTACCAACAGCTTGAGTCTTTTCCTCCTCTTGAAGGTATTGGTTTTTCTATCAAAAATAAAGATAACCCTAGGAAAAATATATAAAGATTATAAATCAGATGAAGGTGGTGATTTGCTTTTTAACACTGATTTTGAGTTTCTGCTGTGTAGTGTTATATGACCATTAAGAAATCAACACTTTGGTTATTCAATATTTATTGTCATTTCTTACTCTATTAAGCTATGCCCAAGGGTGTAATAAATTATAATTTACACATTCTCTTGTACTTTGCAAAACTGATTTAATTTCAAAACACACCAGAGGCTTATCACAAGTTAAAGGAAACAAAAATGCACAAAGAAAAGATATTTCTGTAACTCTGCTTTCTTGCTTCCTTCTCTCTAAAGCAATTTTTCACCCCAGCAGGCATTTGGCAATATCTGAAAAAAGCATTTTTGGTAGTCACAACTATGGAGACTGCTGCTGGCATTTAGTGTGTACTAATGCACAGGACAGCCTCCCGTAACAAAGAATTATCTGGCCCAAAATGGCAGTAGTGCCACTGTTGAAAAAAGACCCTTCAGATGGCTCTTTGGAGAGTAGGGTCTGGAAGCAGTTGTAGAGACAGGGCTGCTAAATTAAAGGGCATTGAAAAAGAATTTGAAGATAATCTGATTCTTCATCTTTGAAAAAAGATTTTTAATTTTTAAAGACTTATTTATTTGATAGGCAACATGACAGAGAGAAAAGAGAGAGATCGATCTTCTCCCCACTAGTTCACTCCCCAGATTGCTGCTCTGGACGAGGCTCAGCCAGACTGAAGCCAGAAGACTGGAACTATGTCCGGGTTTCTCATATGAGAAATGAATAACATCAAAGAAGGATTTAGTTTCTGGATTTAGTTGAAATTTACGAAGACATTTTCTTTAAATACCAAAAATCTAGACCGTAATTTAGCAAAGTAGTCGAACCAACACATTAAGAGGCTCAGATATAATTTTCCTTTATAATATGCAAAATATCTTTTTCTAATACATTTTTTCTTTATTTTAAGGTATATCTTTTGAAATAGTATGTGAATATGATACATAATTCAAAGCCTGTGAAAGGATAACCGTGTGAAAAGTCTCATTTGTGGCCCTGTCACCCTGCCATCCAATAATTCTTCCTGGAAGCAACCACTGATAACCAGTTTCTGGGGTTTCCTACTAGAAGTATGCTACACATGAGAACATAAATACATGTGTGTGTGTGTGTGTGTGTGTGTGTTCTATAAATGCACATATAAACATTTCTCATACTCTCTGTACCTTGGTCTTTTTAACAAAATGTCAGGGAGTGGATTTGATGTTAGTAAACACAGAGCTGCCTTACTCTTCAGCTTCCTTCAAGTCTGCTGTGCCCAGAGCTGGTCAACTGCAGTGGCTGCTGTGAAAGGGATGAGGCTCCCCCTAGTGTTTCTATTCAGCCCTGGGAAATGTCCAATATTCTTTCTATTTCTATTCCAGTGCAGCTGTAGTCTTACTAATAATATGAGGGGAACATTATTAGTGCACAGTGGGGAAATACTTCACAGAAGAGAGCCCCATGTGGTAGGGCTTGTCTGGGGGGGTAAAGGAAACAAAGATGAGTCCTTTCTTCAAGTCTGACTCCTGTTCTGTCCTTTGCCGACCTGGTCTACAACCCCCTCCACTAGAGCATCTGATTTCTGTCACCACCAAGAAATCTGCCATGGAGGGTATGAAGTTAGATCTTTTACAAGCTTATTTAGGACCCAGAACTTAATTTTCAGAGGATGATAGATACTATCAACATTAATAATATCTTTTAAAAATAATTTCTTTTGTGGGGCCAGCGCTATGGCTCAGCAGGTTAACACCCTGGCCTGAAGCGCCAGCATCCCATATGGGTGCCAGTTCTAGTTCCAGCTGCTCCTCTTCCAATCCAGCTCTCTGCTATGGCCTGGGAAAGCAGTAGAAGATGGCCCAAGTGCTTGGGCCCCTGTACCCGTGTGGTAGACCTCTTGGCTCCTGGCTTCGGATGGAAGACCTCTCTCTCTGTCTCTATCTTTCTCTGTAACTCTGCCAGTCAAATAAATAAAAAAAATTTTTTTTAATAATATCTTAAGATCTAAAGTAACTTCACAATTCTCAATATCTTAAAAGAAAAACTCATCCACCTACACTAAATCTCCCCTGGAAGTATAGTGAACCTAATTTTAAGTTTAAAGCCTAGGATAGATTGAATAGGGGCTCATAGCGTCCTTCAGATTTCATTAAAGTTTTCCTAACCAATTTGGCAAATACTTAAGCTTTGAAAATATTCAATTCTGGCCGGCGCCACGGCTCAATAGGCTAATCCTCCGCCTGCGGCACCAGCACACCGGGTTCTAGTCCTGGTCGGGGTGCCGGATTCTGTCCCAGTTGCCCCTCTTCCAGGCCAGTTCTCTGCTGTGGCCCGGGAAGGCAGTGGAGGATGGCCCAGGTGCTTGGGCCCTGCACCCGCATGGGAGACCAGGAGAAGCACCTGGCTCCTGGCTTCGGATCAGTGCGCTGCGCCAGCCGCAGCGTGCCAGCCGCGGCGGCCATTGGAGGCTGAACCAACAGCAAAAGGAAGACCTTTCTCTCTCTCTCTCTCTCTCACTGTTCACTCTGCCTGTCAAAAAAAAATAGAAAATTCAATTCTAAGAATAGTCATACGACTCCACTATGAAGAAAATATTTCCATCTTACAGTCGAAAATAGGAGAGGATAGGCATAACGTTGGCACATCAGCTAACAAAATGAACAAAGTTAATGTTCATGGAATATTAGTAAACCTTAAGAAAGAAAACATTTTCAAAATACGAATCTTATCCTATCATGTTTTATTAGATTGTAGCTACCTAGATTATGGTTTCATTTTGATCACCAAACCACGTTAAGCCATAAGGACCTTTTAAACCAAGAACCTTCGGAAATTGGTGACAGATAACACTGTTAAGTGGGCATTGGGAGTACTAATAAAATTATTTGTTGTTGACTCTGACATAAAGATAAAAAATTATAAAGCTTAATGCCTGAAATTTTCAGTTTGTTCAGTAGTAGGAATCTGAAAGAATCCAAGTTCTCTTTTTTTTTTTTAAGATTTTTATTTATTTATTTGAAAGTCAGAGTTACACAGAGAAAGGAGAGGCAGAGAGAGAGAGAGGTCTTCCATTCGCTGGTTCACTCCCAATTGGCCGCAATGGACGGAGCTGCGCCAATCCGAAGCCGGGAGCCAGGAGCTTCTTCCGGGTCTCCCACGCGGGTGCAGGGCCCCTAGGACTTGGGCCATCTTCTACTGCTTTCCCAGGCCATAGCAGAGAGCTGGATCGGAAGAGGATGGGATGCCGGCACTTCCGGCCAGGGCGTTAACCTGCTGTGCCACAGCGCCGGCCCTCCAAGTTCTCTTGTGTAATATTATTTGGTGTAGTCATTTGCCCAAAAGGAAATGGGCTCTATATCTATAAATAGTACAAAGCAAACAAGAGTATTGATGTATTTAAGTTGATGTATTACTATACAAATATTACTTTTTCATATATTGCTGGAGCTATTCCATCCAGGAAGGAATTTCTGAAGCCTATTAAGGGCTCTCATTAAATTCTGTTGATTGATCAGCACACGCAAAACAGAGGCAAGTGTCAGCTGATATATTTATCCAGTGCTCACTCAGTATGCCTGGGGATAGCTTTTAACTTGGAAAAAAAGTCTCATGCTGTTAAAAATGGAAAACTTCAACTCTTAGGGACAGTAATCTATATTCACATTAGATTAGGGAAGTGTTTCTGTGTCACAAAGAAACTTAAAGAACTACATGAACATGTGACCAATATGCTTTCAAAAAGCAAAAATATTTCCGGAGAAAACATAGCCTATCTGTAAGTAATTCATGTTCACTACAAGGAACATTTCTTTGGTAGCACTGGGGAGCACATTGTTTGCTGTGGAATTAATTCTACCCAAACGCTGAGTTTTCTAATTAGCAAATAATGTATATCATTGGTTGAAATACAAAGCTAAAAAGTTTCCCAGTCTCCCCCACTTAAAGTTCTCTGTGCAGTCAGAAACTTGACAGATTTTTTAAGGAACATTGTCCATGACAAGAGATACTACTCTGACCAATTTGCTAATCATACTAGAAAGCTGAGGTTCGTTCTTCCATCTGATTTTAAGGCAGAGTAAACTCAATGGTGCTTGTTTGTATTCACCTTTTCTCTAATTCCACCCAGTTATTACCAAGAGGAGCAGAAAACTGGCAGAGTAATTATGATAACAGTATGTAATGTTTATTCAGCATTTCTGTCTAACCTGGCACCACGCCGGGGACTTGGTATTATTTTATTTGTCCTTGTCATATTTTCCCCAACTTCAGAAGGGAAACAGAGGTCTGTTACTGCACAGCTAGTAAATTAGTAGGGCCAGAACTGAAATCCCTGGGTGACACTGGTTAGTGTCCTTAAGTACTATCCTCAATGGTTAAGAATAATGTGTGTGAGTACTTGGTAGGTTTGGAAAAGGCCTTTTTTAATGCTAATATTTGAAATCATCCTAAGCTTATATTAAAGGCTAGCCCAGCTTTTACTGTGTTTACTTGTTAGGCTTCAGGAATATCATGTGATTGGTAATATATGCAAATCTTTTGACAAGTAGTCCATGTGTTCTAACAGGTTTGACCATGCTATCAATTTATAACTCTTCTTAGAAACTTCCCTTTTGCCCAGTTTTCATTGTTTTTTTTTTTTTTTTTAAATCACCAAATCGTGTTACTAATGTTGTGTTTTGGTTTGTTTTTTACAGTGATCCTTTTCTGTATGGCTGCCCTAATATTTCCAATAGGATTTTACATCAATGAAGTCGGAGGTCAACCTTATAAATTACCCAACAACACAGTAGTTGGGTCTTCATATGTACTTTTTGTCTTATCAATTTTCTTTACAATAGTAGGACTTCTATTTGCTGGCAAAGTTTGTTTACCAGGCTGATGAATGTCTAAGTTGCTTGAGTCTCTTATTATTTTTTATTTTTATTTTATTTTTTTATTTTTTGGAGGGTGGGGAGGACAAAGGCAAGGCATCTGAGCAGTCCTCTCATGGGAAGATGCTTAGATGCACCCGATGCTGAAAGGAGAGAATGCTTTTGATTTGTTCTCACTATGCACTTTGGATTTAAAAAAAGAAAATGAGAGCCTTTTTCATAACCAAATACAGACAATGTTGACTAAATCTCCTGAGCATATTCAGGCAGTCAGGTCTGCACTGTGATAGCAACCTAGTGAAGGAGAATGCTTTATTCTGAAAAGCACGTGGCCCTTTGTGACTCTGTTGTTCCGTTTTAACGTCTAGTGATTCATTTGAGGAAAAAAAAGTCTAAGTATTTATGAATCAAGGTGGACCGGAGGGATGCAAGAGAAGTTCATGTGGGGCTGGCCTCACCTCCTAAAAATTAGTGTTCACAACTTCCTTGTCATGGTTTCAGCCTTTGGCACCAGAATGGATTGCCGTTGCATTACTGCACCAAGAAGCCAATAGATCAAAACTTGTCTGCTAAAATGTATGTAAAAATTCTGAAATTCCCTATTCTCTGTGTACAAAAAACAAAAATCAAACACTAAGACACATGTTGTTTGGGTGGGTGGGTGGGTGAAATCTTCCTTATATTTATATAAATATATATATAATATATATATTTTGCTGATGCAGTATACAGTGTGTATATATGTGTGTGTGTGTGTATGTGTGTGTAAATTTATATATGCACACATGCAAACAGTTCCTGGAAGAGAACTCTGAATGCTTTGCTAGCAAAACACTGTGGTGTGCAAACCTAGAACTCAGTAGAAAAAAAGCCATTTATCTGAAGGCTGCATAGTGGAGAGAGTCTTCAGTTTACCTCATTCTTTGTAGCAGCCCTTGATTTTAACAGGTTTTTGTAATAGGTACAAATAATCCCATGCCTTTCTAGGTGCAATTTTAAGTTAAGCTGAAAATTCTTTGTAGGGTTAATTTATTTGTATATGATAGTAGAAGGTAAGATCTTGTCAAACCTTATGATTTGGGGAACCTGACACTATTTAAATTATTGGCAGTTGTTGTCTATTGTACAGAGATTCTTTTTTCTACTGGCTCGGTCTGTTACATTAATAATGCGTTTTATATGTTCAAGCACACAACTTTACATAAATACAAAGCTCACTAATAAATAGGCTATTTTTGGCATTTGCAACACTAATTTCACTCTGCCATAAAAGTTAAAACCTGTGTTCTTTTCATCTGTAAGCGCTATTAATACATGTCTACCAAAAACCTGAGCAATACAGTATTTTCTTTGTATGCTATCGGTATGCCTTTGTTTGCTAAAAAACTAAAGTTTTTCATTTACTTTAAAGGGCTGTACTAAACCCACAGCTTTTAAGTTTTTTCCTAAAAGAAGCATTTCAGCTAACCCTTGAATTCAAATAGTTTAAAATGCAGTATTTCTCTTCTCCACATTTCCATGCCTTCATGTCAATGCTTAGTTGTTTTTCCTGGTGAACTCTATAGAGAATCTCCTGTTGGAAATGTGGGGCAGGAAGGTGTTTTTTAGCCATGAAGCTAAGTTCTTCCTCTTCATAGTGAAATGGCAACCCAAATGTCCCTTCCAGTAGAATGAGAGTCCTGTGTAGCCCATGCTTCTCACAGGCAGAAGTGAGTGCACTGTTTAAGAAACTGCGCTATAATGTACGGAGCAGTCACTTTAGAGATGAGTCCTCCTCCTTAGATATTCAAAGTACAAAAAGGAGGAGTTTGATGTGTTTCACACTGGCTTGTTTGACACTCATCTATCTTACAGTTAATTCTGCAGTATTTTATTGTGAGAGAAAATCTCAGTGTTTTGGCTCACTGGGGAGTTGGGGAAAGAGGTGGACCCAGCCCTGTGGTGCATTCCTTGAGTGTTCTAGGGGAATATCATATTTTTCCTTGCCAGTGTAAAAGAAGCCTTTGGGAAATCCTAAGGGAGACTATTTTTTCCCCAAGTATTATGATATCTAGTCAATTCTAAGAATACCACTGGACATGTGCTACCGACATTTGGGTTTGCATTTTCCATTTTGATTGGATTAGTCTTCAGTCAAATGGTTCACTTTGAAGGAAAGCTTTGGTTGTCACCATTATACCACTGAGATTAAGTGTTAGCAAAGTATGGTTTAAATTAATTCGTGATATGACCAAGAGCTTTTCTCTTCCAAAAGATGAATTTTATTGTAAATAGTTTCTCAAAATATTTTTTAACTGGATCATGAGCATGGGGAGAGAAAGTTTCTCAGCTGCTAAGAATTTCCCCACTGTTTACTTCCTTCACTTACGGTGGTATTGCATATAAGATTACTAAATTTAAGGTTTTATTTGTATCTATTACCCAAACCATTAAGTTGTCTTTATTTTCATCACCATCTTGGAGGTCCAGTGCCTAAAGGGCTGATGGGAGGGGAAAGCTTCCTGTAGCCAGTCAGCACTCTAACCCAGGATTGAAACCATCCCATCAGGTAGTATGTGAAGTCAAGTCTTTGTATTCTTCCAGACCAAACAATGAAATGGACTCATTCATATAAATTTCTATAAATCCTGTAAGTGAAAAACTAGACAACTGTTAGCAGTTGCTTTTAAAAAGGTCACTATAGTAAGTACCACATAGTACAGTATTAATTTATAGCAGGAAATCATATCTTGTAAACTGTATATAAAACACTGTTTTATGGTGCAATCATTTGTCAAAACTTGTCTGTTACATTGTTTTTTTAGAGTGTGTGCATTACTCTCATACCTAAGAATATCACTGTAAAATCTGCTGAAAACTATTTTTAGGTTTTATTTGCACAAGACTGAATTAGTTTGAAATTTTTGGAAGCTCCTATTGAACATGCCTAAACATCTATAAACATGAAAAATCTTCAGTTCATTAAAAGCAAATGTTTCAGTATGATTCTTTCCAAAGGTAATCCATGTTCTATGTTGTTAATGTGTGTATGTAATTCTTCTGACTCTCCCACCTCTTATAAATCTATTTTGTTTCATTTGTTTTGTTTTTGAAGGATGGCTCTTTTTTTGTTTCTTTTTAATGTTCTAGATGACCAAAACACTTTATTGGTTTTTACACGTTCACCTAAAACTTTGATATCCCCACTTGATGTTCTGTGAATTTACTAATATCTTAAATGAAATAATAAATGGTCCTGGTGACAAACAATCTATTGACTTAGAGGAGAGGCCATGAAAAAGTATTGGAAACTAACTTTGCGTTTACTCTTACTATTATTTCTGCATCGTGGGCTTCTTGGGAAGAACATGTTGCATTTATTTTGTCTTTATTAAAAGACTACTAGCCACAAGTTACTATCAGTGTAATAACCGTTTTATCAGCCCACTTTGATCTTCTTTTAAAAATTAAATTTACATTTCCAATTCAAAATAGTAAACTGTCTTTCAGAAAATTTTTGAAGGATAAAAATACATGAAGGAAAAAAGTGGCCTGTGTAGGTAGAATTCCTTACACAGGACTTTTAGTTGTATCACCTCAAGAGATTTTAAAGTTTGTGATCAAGGTCTGTATATTTTCCCAAACTTTATTAAGAATTGTTTTCTAATTGGTTATAACATTTTTCAATTAATAGTTTCAAAACAAATTGTTAATACAACTGTACAAAATGAACATAATTTTCTTCACTTGTATTTTTGTTATTGAGCAAGTTTATCAAAATAAATTGTCTACTAAAGAAACTAAAAATGCTTCTATTACTTTAAGCTTTTACTTGAAATTTCTTACAGAGGTTTCACATGTTCACACACTGACACTTCCAACACCTCTTGGATTGGTTTTGTTAGCATTGCATTGGGTGGTATAGGGGAGAGGTGGTTCTCCCCATCCCTTCTTCCATTCCCCCATCTTAGCTGACCTCTGGAGAAGAGATGCCATTAATATTCTAGGACGTCGATTAGGCCATGTTTACCAATAAGAGTCACTAAGCAATAAAAGCCCACACGCATACACATGACTCTCTTTTCGGCATCTTGCTTTTGTAATCTCAGAGAAACTGCTCCAAGCTCCCTCAGGCCAGACGTTTTTCCTTCTTTCTTGAACAGAGACCTAAATCCATCTTTGCTTCAGTCTTCTGTTTCTACTTTACTGCAGGTCAAAGGATCTTAGCTTCTAAGATTTTTTTTTTAAGAAAGCCTTTATTTAATAAATATAAATTTCATAGGGATAGCTTTTGGAATATAGCAGTTACCAAGATCTTAAAATACGTATTACAGGAGCAGTATAGAGGCCTTCAGGTTTTAGACTTATCCATGTGCTGTATCACAGCTTTATCATACCTCTCTGGAGGTATCAAGATTAGCCTGATAGTAAAGTATTTCCCCTTTGATGCTCTTTCTTCCTGTGGCCTACCCAGGAGCCTCATGGGGAATTGAGGGATGAGGAAATGGTAAGAGTTAAATACGCCTGGGTGCTGGGAAGTAAGGGTGTCTTCTCAGTGTGCTCACCCATCCTGGTTTGCCTGAGACGGGTCCCCCAGGACATGGGAGTTTAGGTGCTGTTAACTGAGCTAAGACCAGATTAGTGACCCTTTATTCATACATCCAATCTTGTCCCAATTTATAACACAGAATAGAGGTATTTGAAGGGTTCCTATCTGTAAGCATTGATGAGTAGGTTGGTTGATATTATAATAGTAGACGTCTTTTGAGCTTGTAAGGGTAGGTAGAACACTTTCTCTCTTTGGTAATACCTTCAGAAAAGAGAACAGATGACTTTAAAAACAGTAACGTGAGTTCAAAAATACCTTGTTTTAATGGCCTTCCATCTACTCTGTTCTAGCCATTATTTGAAATGATTACAGGAAAAGCACAAAGATTGGAAGAGTATGGATTTCTTTTATGCATAGTCAACTTTTCTGGGTCACAGTTACCCAGCAACAAAATTAAGGTAGTTATTTATAAATTATATTAAAGATAGCATAATGTTACATTGTTTTTTAGAGTTTAGTGCTTTTCTCAGGAGAATAAAATAGTGTAAGATGATAATTTCAAGCACACTGGTTTTCACACATCAGCCCCAATTCCAGTCACAGGCTAAGACCACCTAAGATGAAATTTCAAGAAGATTTTTTCATGTCCCTCAAAAAATTTTAGAGGTAGATGGAATTTTGTAAAAGTATGTGTCCATTTTCCAGATAAAGGAATTGAGGCCTCTGAAAGGCACAGTGACTTTGCCAAAGTCACACAGCTAGGTCTCAGCTGAGCCCTCAGCACAGCAAAGAATTTCATTGAAAAAAGAGCCTTGGACCTAGGAGAGGTGTCCATATCCTGTAACCATGTGCACCTGTCTTCCTTTAACTGATATCCATCCACTTTAGTCCATCCAAATTCTGCCAAAATAGTCACTGTAAAAGAAAGCATATGGGGCCAGCACCGAGGCTCACTTGGTTAATCCTCCGCCTGCGGCGCTGACATCCCATATGGGCGCCAGGTTCTAGTCCCGGTTGCTCCTCTTCCAGTCCAGCTCTCTGCTGTGACCCAGGAAGGCAGTGGAGGATGGCCCAAGTGCTTATGTCCCTGCACCCGCATGGGAGACCAGGAGGAAGCAAATGGCTCCTGGCTTCAGATCGGTGCAGCGCCAGCCATAGTGGCCATTTGGGGAGTGAACCAATGGAAGGAAGACCTTTCTCTCGGTCCCTCTCACTGTCTATAACTCTGTCAAATTAAAAAAAAATACAATTTTCTATTTTACAGTTCTTTCATCCCCACTGTCCATAGGATGAAGTCCAAAATCCTTTAAGTTGGCATTGAAAACTTCCTGATCTGGCTTCAAACTCTCTTCGGTCTTAATTTCCTACTGCTGTCTCTTCCCCTTTTACTGCCAACCAGCCCATTGCCCAGTATCTCACTACAGCTCGTGGCTGTGTTGATACCACCTCCTCCTGCGGTTTTTCCTTAATCCTGCCCCACATTTGAAATGTATCTCATCTTTTGTACTTTGTGATTCTTTTGTTTCTGTCTCTCTAACAGAACTTACTAAAAGGAAATAGACTGCCTGGATTCACATCTCAATTCTACAGTTCCAGCTCCCTGAACCTTGGTTTTTTCATCTGTAGAATGGGGCCTGTCTTACAGGTTTATTGTTGATTTAAGTAAGGTAAAGAATCTGGCACATATTAAGCATTCAGATGTTAGTCACTGCTATTATTATTACTAAACATTTCTCTATAACTACATTATAAACTCTGAAAGGCAAGGGATATGGCTTTCTCAAATTCCTTGAGACCTAGCACTGTATTTTACACATTGAATTGAATTCTAAAAATTAAATCTGGAGCTATGTGATAAAAGGAAGTTATTAAACTGTATTTCCTGGAGATTTGAAAACCCCGGTCACCTATTTGGCAGAACTGTTTCCATGAAATTCTTCCCAAAGACAGAGGCTTGCCTAATTTCCTGTTAAGTATTAGTTTAATATGTGAGTTTCATTGACCTCCTTAGGATTTCCCGGTGGACTCAAGAACCCTTACTACTGAATTCATAGCACTCCAATATTGCTTATACAGGGAGGACCAGGATGATGCAAGCACTCTGTTTATCCAGAGAGAACTCTCTGTAGGCTTTGTCAAGCTTGCGAGTTCTCTGCTGTCTTGAAACCATACATTCGGTATGTTTTGCAAAGACTTGGTTCTGCCAAGATGGTTTTAATTATTTCTGCTAAAAGGAAGGGACTCAAACATTTGAACTCATTTTAAGATGTGATTGTCCCCAACTGGCCATTTTATGGCACTTGTGTAAATATTGCCAATGTATTTGGTCACTATTAAAGTGATCTCAATTATCTGTCAGAGCAAGTCAGTAAAATAAATACTGTGTCTTTGGCACTCAGATTGTCTGAGACAATTCAGATATTTCCTTAAGAGCTCTCTTACATTCCTTTGTTCTCTATGATTTAGGCAAACACAGGTGAAGATCCAAAGAAAATCTTCATTCATTGATAAATTGCTAAATCCACAGATCTAAGAAATCTTAATTACCTTCTACATATTCTGGTAATTTAGTTTGTGAGTAGCAAAAGGCAATCTCACCCTTACCCACCTGCACAACTCTAATATGTTACCCCGTTTTTGCTTTCAGAGTCATCAGTGGCTTTCTTGTCCTAAGTCTGTTGTGGAGGAGAAAGTTATCATGACTCTAAACTGGACAGAAGGACTTCCTTTTTAAAATAATATATGTCTGTAAAAGTTTTTTAAAAAGCAAGAATACAAAAAATTAAAAGTTCCCTCCCCCCACAGTATAATTTCCAGATAATTAACAATTTATTGGGTATTCCAACAGACATTTCAGTGTTCACTTTTTTTTTTTTTAAGAGGTAGATTTACAGACAGAGGGAGAGACAGAAAGGTCTTCCTTCTGTTGGTTCACTCCCCAGTTGGCCGCAACAGCCGGAGCTGCACCAGTCCTAAGACAGGAGCCAGGTGCTTCCTCCCAGTCTTCCACATGGGTGCAGGGGCCCAAGCAGTTGGGCCATCTTCTGCTTTCCCACGCCATAGCAGAGAGCTGGATTGGAAGAGGAGCAGCCGGGACTAGAACTGGTGCTCATATGGGATGCCAGCGCCACAGGTGGAGGGTTAACCTACTGCACCATGGCAGCCCCTCAGTGTTCACTCTTTTTTTTTTTTTTTTTGACAGAGTGGACAGTGAGAGAGAGAGACAGAGAGAAAGGTCTTCCTTTGCCGTTGGTTCACCCTCCAATGGCCGCTGCGGCCGGCGCACTGCGCTGATCTAAAGCCAGGAGCCAGGTGCTTCTCCTGGTCTCCCATGGGGTGCAGGGCCCAAGCACTTGGGCCATCCTCCACTGCACTCCCTGGCCACAGCAGAGAGCTGGCCTGGAAGAGGGGCAACCGGGACAGAATCCGGCGCCCCAACCGGGACTAGAACCCGGTGTGCCGGCGCCACTAGGCGGAGGATTAGCCTATTGAGCCGCAGTGCCGGCCTCAGTGTGCACTTTAACAAAAGCAAGATAATAGTTACAAACATACACACCACATTTCTTTATTTTTTAATAATTTTTGACAGCAATTTTTCTGTGTTAGTAAATACAGAGCTTCCTTATTTTGGGGTACATATATATACATATATGCATACATATATACACACATGTAAAAATACAAGGACAATTAAAAAAGCTACTCTAAATGGAATTAACATTTTTTTATAATAAAACATTTTGAAATCCATGAACATTCACAATACACATTTTTCGTGAATTTTTGAAGACCCCTTATATGTATGAATTTCAAAATGTTTCTGCACCAAAGCAAATTTACCTCTTAATTTTACTTTCCACAGACTTTCTGAAGTACCCATATATATATAGATATAAATAGATGTATTCTTCGTATTTTATTGTACATTTGTCTCCAGATTTTTGCTATTACAAATGATGCTGCTATGAACTTAAAAAATTTCTCAAATAATCATGACAACTTGACATCATTATTGAGGCATATAAACCACTCTGTTAAGACAATCAAATTTTCAAAAGTGTTGTGATTAAATGAATAGTGACACTCAATAAGTTTAGAGAAATAAATATTAAATTTGTGTGCTGCATGCTTTTCCATATGTCTTAATGAATCCTCTTCCTATGAAGTAAGAGGTGGTATTTTATAGACCAGGAAGCTAAGGATCAAAAAGGTGAACAGCTTACCCAGTGGGGTTCTCTAGCTAATAACTGGTGAATCTAGATTTCAAACTTAGGTTCCCTGACTTGAGATCTAGGACTCCTGCTGTCCCACATTGTCAGTTTGGCTAGTCTAAAGGAAATAAAAATAGCTTGTCCCAGTTGCATGATTCCTTGGCTCAAACATGAGCAGCTAAATCTATGGTTTGCTTCTTCTGGATGTGGAATGCAAATAACCATAAAAGCAGTCCCTACTTAAAAACAACTTGTGAATAATACCTACTTTGTTAACAGAAAGTAACAATAAGAAAAAACTACTTAAGTTTGTGTTTAATCTTCCATCGATTCACCTCTCACTGTCAGGCCTTCTCTATTGATTTTACTGGGCCCTTGCAGGATTTGAGTTTGCAGGGAGATCTCCCTAAAGAAACTACTCCCTACCCCTCTCCCATGGCATTTAAAAATCAAGCAGATCCCTCCTGCCATGTTGCTAGAAAATGTATTGGTTATTAGGGTACCATTAGGTTGTGCAGTGATCCATAGCTCAGAAATCAGGAAGGGCCCTCCAGTTGTTTGTCAGCTGTCTTCCCATCACTCCTGAGACATCGGTTGTCCCAGAATGCTGCCGAAGTTTCACTATGCCCATCCCACCTTGGAGCGTGATAAACTTTGTAGGGCTGGGAACTCCTATGCCTGTGGATTCTCCCTGGGTGCATCAAGGACCTCTGGGTGTTACCATCTCACCACAGTGTCGCTTCTGGCAAGTGCTGAGCAGGCCTCTGCTCCCTTTAATTTTCAGATCTCTGACTTCTTGATGTCTATTTGGGAAAATATCCCCTTCTCTTTGGCTTCCTTCAGAGGCATGTTTGCCTAGCACTTATGTCCCCTTCTTTGGATTAAAAAAAAAAAAAAGATTTTTTTTCTTTTGGAAAACTGCTCTTTTCCTACCTCCATGCCATATGGTTTCATGGGCTAATTTAACCTTCTGGTTCCAGAACTGGATACAAGCCACTTGGCCAATCAGATTCATCGTGATTGATTCAGGAGTAAGCATGGCATGTGATCAAACCAAGCCTGGAACTTTGCTGGAATTTGAGGAAAACAGGTGTTCTTCCTTAAGGGTTGCTAATTATTAAGGGGAAAGTTTGATGCTGCTGATGTTCAGGTTTGTCAGATTAAGAGCTCACCTAAGAATCAAACCATCACAGAAAAAAAAGCTGAGAAATGGAGACAATTTTATTAACATTTTAGCCATTGTGTCTAGCCATGCCAGAAATCAGAGCTATTCCTGGACTTTTCTGTTATTTGAGCAAATAAACTTCTGTTTTTCCTTAAGCCAATTTGAGTTGGATTTCTGTTACTAACTGAAAGACTCTTCATACACTTGCACTTTCCTCTTGACATCAAACACATTCCTCACCTCCCCTACTTTGGCATGTCACTTTAATCTTTTAGTTAGCTTAGGGCTTTTACAAAAGACAAAAAGCTATTAACTTGAGGTTGCTTCCTCTCAACCCAAAGAAAAGCACCTGCTCCTACTTTGAAATGAAAGAAAGAAAAAAGCACAAATTGATATGTAAAAAAGGATATCCCACCGTTCTCCTGGGAAATGGGACCAAGTAAGAGCTCCTAAATATAAGAAGAGATGAGGCAATTCTGATCAGTCTCAATATCTTCAGGTAAGAAATTCCTGTGTGCTCTGATACCTAATGGGGTTGGTTGATCATGGCCTATACTCAGGAGTGAGTTAAGAAAAGCAGTATCCATAGGTTGTTTTTTTTTTTTTTTTTTTTTGACTGGTCATCCAACCTGAAAGAGTTGCTCTGCTTTCTCCATCTGTAAGCCCAAGTAGAAGAAAGCAGTAGCAAAAGAGTGTTGGATCTTACTTGTAAAATGTTGAAAACCCTTGTCTCCAGGGAGCCAAGAAAGTTGCCTGGAGCTCCAGTGACTCAGAAAAGAGTGTCTTAGGCTGAGTGTTGGGTATAAGCAGTTAAGATACTGCTTAGGTTGCTTGAATGCCTGGATTGGAGTCCCCCAGCTTGCTTCCAGCTTCTGGCTAATGCACACCCTAGTGTGCATACCGACAATGGCTCAAGTACTTGGATCCCTGCCACACACGTGGGAGACCTGGACTGTTTCAGATTCCTGGTGTAGACCTAGCCCAGCCCCAGCTACTGTAGGCATTTGGGGAGTGAATCAGCAAATGGAAGATCTCTCTTCCTCTGTCCTTGTCTCTCTCAAATCTTTTTTTTTATTGAAAGATGGTGTCTCAAAGCCCTTCCACCCAGAATTTCTATGGGGACACAATAGCCCTGACCTCTTATTCACACAGAAGCTGCTGGTTGCTTGAGGTTCTCTTAAGACTTAACCTCCCTCCTGGGTTTACATATGGCGCTTTCAGTCTGTGACTATCCCAGTGGTCAATAAGCAGTTTGTTTTGAGGGCTCATTGTTTTTCACCTGGCCTATGGGAACCACTGCTGGGTCTGTATCTGAAAGGGGTCTTTACCATTCGATGCAAATGTTCTAATTTATAAAACCAAAAAAAGGTTCAGAATGTAGAGATGAATTTGAGAAATGACTTAGATAAGAATAACTAAATGCAGATCCCTTAGCTGCTCACAAACCTCTCTCTTGACCTCTATAAAAGAGGGGGTTGGGAGGAACCCAACTGTGGGCCAGAGGACTAGTTACATCATAATTGCCTGGAGCAAATCACCTGTTAAAGATTCCTGTTCCCACACCTGACCACAATTCTGAATCAGCCTCCTGGATGGGAATGTCCTTACATTTTTTTAGCAACAACCCAGGTAATTGTGAAGGGCACCCAGCACCGACTGCAGTAGATCATCTTTTCTGATGCCAAGAGGTGGCTGAGCTTGTTGCTGTATTAGCCAGGCTCCGGTGGGGCTGGACCTGGTGGGGGTGGAGATTGTCAGACATCTCCCAGGGACTGTCTGGGGAACCCTCGGGGAATGAGGAGGAAAAGGTCACCACCTTCCATACCCATCGGAGATTCTCCGGTGTCTCCTTTCCTCAGTTGCTGCCATGGGAAGGCAGCAGGCACCAGGGCTCTGCTGGCCCAAACCACAGTTCTCTGTTGACTCAGAGGTTCTGAAAACAGAAAAGAGGTCCAAATCCTGCTTCCAGGCTTTTGTGAGGGTGCAGAAAAGCAGAATGACCTGGCAGAGTTTGTTGTGTACAACAAAGTGGTAACTTCTTCCCCGGGGTGAGCGAGGTTTTCCCTTTCCCTGCTCCAAGCTGCAGTTGGTGCCGTCTGTTACCTTGGAGACCAGCTAACACTTCCTCTCAGGGCAAGCTCCTCTGTTGAGTTGCTTGGAAGCTTGGAGCAACTAGAAGTGGGAACCAGGAGAAACAGGGCCCTGTGGAAGCTGAAGCCCTTCTCCCAAAGACGAAGAAATAAATGAGGAAATGCAAGTGAGGGTGAGTGTCAAGAGGGTTGATGGGTGGGAAGAGAAAGGGTAGGGGCGGCCCGGATGCTAAGCTATGGACAGAGATTTAGGAAGCCTGACCTCAAAAGTATTTGCTCCATACACGTCAAGCATCGTACTGGGCATGTGACAGCAGCCGAGAAAGTAACGGAGCTGGGCAGGTAGACCGACCATGACAGCTCCATGTGAGACAGTAAGGGGACAGCAACAGGACTTCCACTAAAAGCAAAGTTGCCTCCATGGGGATTTGGGGGCAGTAAACTGGGTTTAGGAGGGACTTCCTGTGTTTTCTTGTCAGACAAAAGGGACAAAGACTGTTCTGGAAGCAATACCAACTTAAGCAACTGCGGGTTATGAAATAGGTAGGTGTGTCTAAGTAGGAGTTGGCAGGGAGCAGAAAAGGCTGCAGGGTGAGGTGGAGAGGTTGGCAAGGAACGGATCCTGAAGGGGTGATAAGCCTTGTGAAGAAGGGCCCGACCTCGTTACCCTACTGCACCGAGGAGCACAACAGGGTTCTGAACAGGTAGACATAGAAACAGCCCTGCACATTGGAAAAGTCATTCTGGAAGCATGGATTGGAATGATTGGATGGGGGTAAGACTAGAGGTGATTTTGCAGTTAAAAATACATACCCTGGGGATGGCTGTGTCCTGGATAAATATTTAGGAGAATCCTAAATCAGCTGTTAATCATCCAGGAAGTTAGCTGAAGGTTTTCTTTTACCCAATGATCAGAGGTCCCTCTTTTCCTTTGACCAAAATGCCATAAGCTGTGGGCCAGCGGTTTGTATGTTCTAGTCCCCTCCTCCAGTCACTCCCCCATGGTAATGTGGTCCCTCATTGCCTAAACTCTGGACCTGCCCTCAGAGTGTTCAGTGTTTTATGGCGAAAGTTTCTAGCAGGGAACATGACCAGGTCCCTGCCCTCATGGAGCCTCTGGTGCGTCCGTGTGTGTGTCGGAGGGGCAGACAGTAAATGAGTAAATATGTAGACTACCAGATAGTGAATGGTAAAGCAGAGCGAGAGGGCTCCTATTTGACTTAAGGAAACAAAGAAGACCACTGCCATCAGGGTTCATTTGAGCGGAGGCCTGAGGCTAAGGGCTGCGTCCTGTCGTCCTGTTGCTGTCTCTGGTGGACACTCTATGAATGTTCATGGGATGAATGATTGCTTTCCTGTCCTTTGCTGATGTGCTTGAAGATGCCATGCTTTTTTTTTTTTATATAATAGTCCGCATTTCTATAGCACTTTGTGTTCTACAAAGCCCTTTTACAATCTCCGTTTCATTTGCTCCTCTGCAGAGGAAGAAACCAAAGATCCAGAGCTCTTGCCAGTGCCCCACATTGTTTCATTAGTTTTTATGCAGTTCATCCCCCACTCCTTCCAGACAAGCAGGCCTCTGAATGCATTAAGAGCTGTTAATCACTTCCTGGAAAGAGGGAACCGAAACACTTCAGCGTGTCTGGTGTTCACGAGGCATTTCTGTCTCAACGTCCGTGCCATTGGAGTCTTGCAGGCAAGTTAACTGAAGTAAAGCAGCCAGAGTTTTTTGTTTGTTTGTTTTTTGGACATTGCCATGTTAATCTGGTGCGTCCAAAAAAACAAAGCATCCTCTGAATAAAAGATTAAAGACCCAAAAGAGAAAAGCAAGTTGCTGAATAATAATAATAAATAAGCATTAGCTTATTTAATTTAATGATTGCATAAGAGCACACAGTAAATTAACATTTAAGCTGCAGTTTCATTCAGAGGTTTTTTGTTTGTTTGTTTTTGTTTTTGTTTTTGCTGTATCTTAGCAAGGATTTTTGCTTGTTTTGGTTGCAAGCAATAACAATCTAAATGAGCTAGCTTAAGCAAAAAGGTAGGGCGTTATCAGGAATGGAATATCTAGTGAAACCTAACAGCAAAAAGTGAAATCAGTTCTCGCAAGTGCCTTAGACAAATAATTAGAAATCCAAGAACCAAGGTAGCTTCCTCCCTTTTTTTCTTCACCTCCCCTCCTCAGAGTGTTATTGAGTGCTGCTAGTCCTTGCTATCATCTAACTTACAGTGTAATGGGAGAGACACACCAATTTTTAAAAATCACAGTAATAAAAATATCCAAATTAAGTGCTCTAAAGAAAAGGAGCATCATTCTATGAAAGTCTTGTCTAAGGAGCCATACTGTGGCATAGTGGGTAAAGCTGCTGACTGCAGTGCCAGCATCCCATATAGGCACCTATTTGAGTCCCTGTTGCTCCACTTCCCACTTCTTTTTTTTTTTTTTTAAGAATGATTTATTTTATTTGAAAGGCAGAGTTACAGAGAGGCAGAGGCAGAGAGAGAGAGAGAGAGAGAGGGAGAGAGAGAGAGAGGTCTTCCATCCACTGGTTTACTCCCCAGATGGCCGCAACAGCTAGAACTGTGCCGATCTGAAGCCAGGAACCAAGAGTTTCTTCCAGGTCTTCCAGGTCTCCCACACTGACTCAGGCCATTTCCCAGGCCATCGGCGCCCATATGGGATGCTGGCACTGCAGGCAGAGGCTTTACCCACTATGCCACAGCACTGGCCCTGCTCTACTTCCAATCTAGCTTCCTGCTAATATGCCTGGGAAAGCAGCAGAAGATGGCCCAAGTGCTTGGGCCCCTGCACCCACATAGAAGACCTGGCTCCTGGTTTGGCTTGTGCCAGTCCTGGCTTTTGCTGCCATTTGGGGAGTGAACCAGTGAATGGAAGATCTCTCTGTCTCTCCCTATCTTTCTCTCTAACTCTGACTTAAAAATAAATAAATCTTTGAAGTCTGTCTAAAATAAAGGAACCTAAAATAGAATGGGATACTGGAGGTTTCCCAGGGGAAGCTGGAATATTCGGTATGGGTAGTATGAAGAAAGCAAAGAAAGTTCTGGAACAAAGACAGGTGCATGTGAAAAGGCCCTGGGGCTAAATAAACTGTGTAGCATTCCAGGAGCTGAAAATGAAGGGTTCTTAGGGGACACAGGAGAGGGTTGTGGTGAAGCAAAAAACCTAGAGGGGTAGGTGGGCAGTGACCAGATGACGTGGGGCCTCAGTTGTCACCATAGGGATCCTAGCCTTCATCTTATAAATAAAGGGAAGCCTTTGAACAATTTTAAGTAGGAAGAAGAAGGGGGTTGGGAGTACAACATTGGGTTTGTGTTTTTAAAAGCTTGACTTCAGTAGGGAGGGCAGATTGAAAGGGGTGTCTAAATGGGTGCAGGGAGGCCAGTTAGGGTCTGCTGCAGTGGTCTATGGCAGACATGACAGTGGCCTGCACTAGAGGAATGACAGTGAAGATAGGTAAGTGGAGAGACAGAGAGGTAAGATTAACAAGGGTAGGTGACGGATTGGAAATGGGGAATGAGAGTCAAGAATAACTCCTCGGTTTTGATTCAAGTGAGTGGTTTTTCTCCCTAAGCTAGAGAACAATGGAAATAGGATAGGTTTTGTAGGGAATAGGATGAGTTCAGTCTTGGAGATGCTCAGTTTGAAGTTCTCCAAGTGGAAATATCCAGTGTCTATTAATGCACAGGCCTGGAGTCAGAGTGAGAGGTCTGGATTCTTGGTATGCAAGTCATTGATGGACAGATGGCCTGGGAAGAGGGGAGGAAGTGAAGAGAGAACAGTGAGCATGATTTACCCTCAAGGAACATCAGCTTAGAATGTTCAGTGCAGGAAGATGTGCCCTCAGAGGAGACCAAGAAGGAAGAAGCCAGGAGAGAATGTTCCCATGGAAACTGAGGCAGGGAGACCATTCATTCCATTTTGCTGTGAAGATGGTATTTTTCTGAATATGCATGGTGACCACCTGCACTTAATCCCAAATTCCTTAGGGAGAGAATCTGATTGACCTGTCCTAGATTGTTGTCCAGCACTGACTCAATAAGGTGTGACTAGTAGAAGGACTTTCCATATAGGCATAGTTCTCAGAGAAAAGAACTCATTGCGAATTTGTCACTCTTCCCACCCTGCTTCTTAAAATCCCTATGGCCTGGCCAAACAGTCTTCTTGTGTATTCCTTGGATTAGACAAGTTCTTTCCCACCTCAGGAGTTTTATTGTTGTTGTTGTTTGTCTGTTTGTTTTAGATTTATTTATTTATGTTGAAAATCAGAGTTAAATAGAATGAGAGAGAGCTTTCCAGCCACTAGTTCACTCCCCAGATGGTGGCAATGGCCAGTGCTGGGCCAGTCTGCAGCCAAGAGCCAGGAACTTCATCTGGGACTCCCACATGGGTGGCAGGGCCCAAACACTTGGGCCATTTTCACTGCTTTTCCCAGGCCATTAGCAGGGAGTTGGATTGGAAGTTGAATAGCCCAGACATGAACTGGCACCTATATGGGATGCCAGCATCACAGATGGACGCATTACCCACTATGCCATAATGCCAGCCCCTCACTTCAGAGTCTTGACACTCATTGTCCCCTCTGCCTAGTCAAACCTTCACCATATTCTTTTTTTTTTAATTTAAAACAATTATTTATTTATTATTTGTAAGGCAGAGAGAGGGAGCGAGAGGATCTTCTGTCTGGTTGTTCACTCCACAGTGTTTGCAAGAGTAAGGGTTGGGACAAGCTGAAGTCGGGAGCCAGGTGCTCTATTCGAGTCTCCCATGTGGGTGGCAAGAACTCACATACTTGAGCCATTGTCTGCTACTTTCCCAGGCACGTCAGCAGGGAGCTGGATAGGAAGTAGAGGAGCCAGGACTTGAATCTACCCTCCAGTATGGCATTCAGGCATCTAAAACAGCAGCTTAACTCACTGTGCCACAATGCCAGCCCCTTCACCATAATCTTAATGTGGCTACTTCATTTTTATCCTTCAAGGTCTGAGTCCAAATGACACTTACCCTGACCTCCTTACCTATGCAGAGTGGATCCCTTTCTTGATTATAATATCATCCTGGTTCCTTCCTTCATAATTTCTTCTCCAATTTGTGATTACAGTCAGCCCTCAATATCCTTGGATTTCGAATCCATGGATTCAACAAACTATGGATGGGAAATACACAAATTACGTCTTATGGAACATACATAGACTTTTTTCCTTGTCACTATGCTCTAAACAACTTAGTATAACAACTGTGCATGGGCAAATACTATGCCATTTTATAGAAGGGATTTGAGCACCTGCAGATTTTGTTTTTTGCTGTTGGGGGAGGGTAGAGTCTTCAAGCCAATCCCCCTCTGATACTGAGGGGTGACTACTTTATTTAATGTTTTAGTATTAGTCTCTCCCTCTTAAATGATAGCTCCGTGAGGACAAGGACAATATCTGTCTCAGTGGGGATGCTTTTGCCCCCAGCAGACATTTGACAACATCTGGAGACATCCTCATTTGTCACTGATAGGGAGGCTCCTCCTGGCATTAGTAAGTAGAGACCAGGGATGCTGTTAAACATTCTACAATGCCCAGGATAGTCCTCACAGCAAAGAATTATGGGGTCAAAAGTGGCAAAGTTGAGAAAGCCTGGTCACTTGTTCATCACTGTATCTGAGCGCCAAAGCAGAATGCCTGATAACCCAGTAGGTATTTAATAAACACTTATTAAATTAATTAATTACAGTGGAGCTGATCTGGACAGTGATGACTTGCAAAGTGCTTATTGTCTACATGCTGCACTTACCTTCTTTTCTGGTGTTTTCTTTTCCACCCTAGGAAGATAAGCGTTGAGTGTTTTTACAATGGCTACACAAACTAGTCATGTCTTCCATGGTCAAGAAAATAACTTTCTGGAGAATGATTGGTAAGCACGATCCTCTGATTTTGCAAAATAAAATGGCGACACCATTTTGCTCCTGCCGTAAGTGGGACTGGGTAAGTGGTCATTGCGATACCTTAGAGGACTTTGGTCACTTAACCACCAGGTCGGTGTACGGAAATGTCTCATGAATGTGGAGTCCATATTTTATCAGGACTCTACAGGAATGCTTCCCATCACCACACAGAAATAAAAGTATTTCTGGAATCCTTCTGGGGACTAGGGGAGAGGAAAGAGGACTTTGGCAGTGTGAAGTCAGTGTTGAGGGCTGGGACGTTGATCAAGTCACTTTGTTTTGTAGCATGAGGAGGAACACTGACAAAGATCCAAAGAAGCAGTTGAACCAGGAGACAATGAATGGACTTGGCCAAAATCCAGACGATGGACTACTGGTTACACATGTTAACCAGACACAGGACCTACTGGTAAAAACCACAGCACTCTCACGGAGTAGCAGCACTTTCAAATCAGTCAGGGACTGTGTCAAATTCTGGGTATTTTACTTTTTTTGAGACCTCAGAACTGAAAAAGATGAATTATAATTCACTTCTAAATCCCTTTAGAAATGATTGAAAAATCTCTATACTCTTTATAGAATTCATATAACCTTCTTGGTCACAGTATTAAATATTGTGGAGCACATGAAGACTTTAATCATGTTATCGAAGTCTGAAACCTGAGCCATTTGATTCTAAAATCCCCCTTCCTGAGATTGTTATTCTTTTAAGATTCCCTAAAATCTAGATCCAGAAACCTATTTCAGGAAGTGTTGCTGGAACAAGAGAGTTAGGGCAAGGGAGTTAGCCTCCAGGATAACCAGACTGATTGTAGGCTGACTCTCAATGTGCACATGAGCGTTCTTCCCAAGAGAGTGAGTAGATTGTTTACAACTCAGAATTCATTCGGCCTTGGAAGCAGTTGTCAGGTGCAAGGCTAGCCCATAGCCATCTGCTAAACTGCACTGGAGTTCAAATATGATACCATTGAAATGAAAGGCAGGCCGGCGCCGCGGCTCACTAGGCTAATCCTCCGCCTGCGGCGCCAGCACACTGGATTCTAGTCCCGGTCAGGGCGCCAGATTCTGTCCTGGTTGCCCCTCTTCCAGGCCAGCTCTCTGCTGTGGCCCGGGAAGGCAGTGGAGGTTGGCCCAAGTCCTTGGACCCTGCACCCCATGGGAGACCAGGAGAAGCACCTGGCTCCTGGCTTTGGATCAGCGCAGTGCGCCGGCCGCAGCGTGCCAGCCATGGCGGCCATTGGAGGGTGAACCAACGGTAAAAGGAAGACCTTTCTCTCTGTCTCTCTCTCTCACTATCCACTCTGCCTGTCGAAAATAGAAAACTATAAATCATAGAAAGGCAGAAGGTGTACACTTACAGTGCTGGCGATTAAACCACTGGGAAGATTGTCATGTTTTACTTTTCTCCAGTTTGGGCACTTACAGGTTGAGCGAGTGTAATCACAAGGAGGTGAGGAAAGATCGGTAGAGTCTTCAGATCCTGAAGAAATCTTTCAGTGACTTCAGAGGTGGATCTTTATTTCATCTAATTTCGTATCAAAGTCAGTGGCTTCCCAGGTTGTGCAAAGGACCACTCTTAAATTTACCAGCCACAGCTGGGGCCTCTTTTGCTTGGCAAATGAAGAACAGTGGGAAAGAGTACAAAGATGAAGATCTTTCCATTCTCTATGTAAACAAAGATCTTGCCCTCCTACCAGTTTAGCATAGAATCAGCAGGCCCTGCAGTCAAATCTCTAATGTGTTTAAGAGTACATATTGAACTATTAATAATACAGAGTCCTTGGGGCTGGCATCGCTGCTTAGCCTGTAGTGCCAGCATCCCATATGGGAGCCTGTTCGAGTCCCAGCTGCTCCACTTCCAATCCAGCTCCCTGCAAATATGCCTGGGAAAAGCAGCAGAAGATGGTCCATGTGCTTGGGCCCCTGCCAGCTGTGTGGGAGATCTGGAAGAAGCTCCTGGCTCCTGGCTCCTGGCTCCTGGCTCCTGGCTCCTGGCTCCTGGCTTCAGCTTGGCCCAGCCCTGGCTGATGTGGCCATCTGGCGAGAGAACTAGCAGACAGAATTCTGTGTGTGTGTGTGTCCATCTCCCTCTCTCTGTAATTCTAAATTTCAAATAAATTCTTAAAAATCTAATTAAAATATTATTTAAAATACAAAGTCCATGTGCTAAAACATGATAGATTGTGCAAATGCAAGAAAGATGGAGAGATGGTAAATTCTAAATGTGGTGCTCAGTGTTACCAACCAGGGTGTTGACTGAGTCCTGAAGGGTGAGAAGAGTGACATCTAGTGTTCATAGGATGCACAGCAGTGTTTCCCTAAGTATGGGACAGGCACTATAGTTTTAGGCTGAGCTGTTCAAAGCCAGGACATCCTGTAACCCAGAACCACATAGTGAGGAAGTTACCTTCAGTCAGCCCTCTCTTGATCAGTCATGGAAACAGTACCATCCGGGTGCTAGTTTAGAGGGGCAACATATTGTCCTGGTTACTAGCATGGCTTGGGGTTTACAGCTGCCTTTGAGTCCCAGCTTCACCATTAGCTGTGTGGCTTTGAGCAAATTACTTAAAATCCTTGAGTGTCAGTTTCCTTTCAGCAAAATGGGGTTATGACAGGAGCTACTTAATAGAATTTTATTTTATTTTATTTTTTATTTATTTGATAGAGTTAGACAGTGAGAGAAAGAGAGAGAAAGGTCTTCCTTCTGTTGGTTCACTCCCGAAATGGCTGCTAAGGCCGGCGCTGCAGCAATCCGAAGCCAGGAGCCAGGTGCTTCCTCCTGGTCTCCCATGTGGGTGCAGGGCCCAAGCACTTGGGCCATGCTCCACTGCCTTGCCGGGCCACAGCAGAGAGCTGTACAGGAAGAGGAGCAACAGGGATTAGAACCCAGCACCCATATGGGATGCTGGCGCCGCAGGTGGAGGATTAACCAAGTGAGCCACAGCGCTAGCCCCTACTTAGTAGAATTAATTGAGTTACTATATGGAAACTGCTTGACATATAAGAAGTGCTATTCACATGTGTGCTGTAATTATGAGTGTGTTTTTTGCACTCCCTTAACACTTGCTAATTTCCTTTTGAAACAGAAAGGGGAAGAGCCTCAAGCACAGCACTTAAGGCTTTCTATATTCTCAGCTGGAACATAGTAACAGCATTTCTTTTTTGTTATCTTTGTTTTATGGTGACCTATTTATGACCACACCTGAGAGAGAAATAAAGACGGTTGCTGAGAACTGTTTATGCAGAAACATTCAAGGTTATGTTCTGTGCCCTTCACAGATCAAGAACAAGAGAGGCAACCCTGTGACAAAGCTGGTAAACAGGGAACCCCAGTGTGACGCACTTCCCTCTCCCTCTCCTCTTTTTCTCTCCAAGGTACCCCAATCAGCTACAGCAGATAATTTTCTTTCCTTTTTTTTTTTTTTTTTAAGATTTATTTGTTTATGTGAGAGGCTAGTTACAGAGAGAGGGAAAGACAGAGAGAGAGAGAGAGAGAGAGAGAGATCCTCAACCCGCTGGTTCACTCCCCAAATGGCAGCAACGGCCAGAGCTGAGCCGATCAGAAGCCAGGAGCCAGGAGCTTCTTCTGGGTCTCCCATGTGAGTGCAGGGGCCCAAGCACTTGGGCCATCCTCTACTGCTTTCCCAGGCCATCAGCAGGGAGCTGTATGGGAAGTGGAGCAGCTGGGACATGAACTGGTACCCATGTGGGGTGCTGGCACCACAGGTGGATGCTTAACCTGTTATACCATAGCACCGGCCCCTACAGCAGACAATTTTCAACTTCTTGTCCGCCACCTCACCTACTTCAGGGAAAGCCCCGGCATACAGAAGCCCAAGAAGAGCCAACCCACTTAGGGTTCCAGCAGCTGTCCTGGAGACATCTTGGGATCCAGACTGGGGTCCCAGCAGGTGCCTAGGCCCATTCCGCAGTCATCAGATGCCGTAGGGTGAGGGTGTCTTTCATGGCGGGACTGAGATGATCTTCCCTTATGATGTCTGCCAATCCATATCCAAAGTGAGTCATGACCAAGGCCAGCAACATTTGAGATTCATCCACTCCACATAAATGACAGTGATTGCACTGGAAGCTCTTGTAGAATCCGTGTTGGACCCAGGCTTTGTATACCTTGCCAGCCTCTTCTCTTGTCATGCTACCCCATATTCACTACTGTCCAATGCCAGTGGCCACCTTTCTGTCCTCAGACACTCCAACCCCTGCCGGCATCCATGTCTGGCTGGAATGTGCACTCCTCACTAGCACAGAGCTGGTTCCTGCTTAATCTTCAGGACTCACTCAGCTCAGAAAGGCCTTCTCTGATACTCAGCCCATCAAAACTTGCCCCCCTTTTTCCAACCAAGTCATTTTCTATCACATGTCCCTGCTCTATTTTCTTGCTAGAGCCATTCCCTTCTGAAATTGCTTTGTACGTGGATTTTATTTCTTGTTTACTGTTCATCTCCTCACACGAGAGTGCAAGTTCTGAGAAAGCAAGAATATTTCTCTTTGTTCACATTACAGCTCTATCACCAGGGACAGTGCCTGGCTCATAATAAGGGCTCAGAAATGCCCATTGGAAGAAGAAAGAAATGCCAGCCTCTAGCACATTCAGAGCCTCAAATCAGGACTCCCCACCTTCTGGCTTTCAGAAAACTTCTCCAGTGTCGAATGCTTGCCACGCACAACTTCAGCTCCACCACAAGGCCACCACCTACATCCTGAGCTTAGCACTATGTATGTGGCACTGATGGCCCTAGATACTAGCAAGGGGGTGCAGTCCATTCATGACCAGACTCCATGGGGCCGGTGCCATGGCGCAGTAGGTTAATCCTCCACCTGCGGCACCGGCATCCCATATGGGCACCTGTTCTAGTCCCAGACTCCTGTGATGGCTGGCAAATTCTTCCTCTAAAACCCCCACCCACTGTTCCAAGCTCTGACCTCCACAATGGACCAAATAAACCCATTCCCTCTTCTCTCAGTTAGTCAGCCAGTGTTTGTTGGAGATCCCTTAGACTGATAAGGGGCACAGCTCAGGCACTGGAAAGGACCCAGCAAGTAAACAAAGACCACCTAAGGAGGACAACAGAGGCAGTTTATTCAGAACTTGCTATAGGAAAGGTGTCAGTCTCCATCACTTATGTTTGGCCGAAACTCAGAGGCAGGCAGGGGAGTGGGAAAGCTTTAACACCGAAAGAGAGAAGTCCTCAAGTATTATAGGAGGCTTACGAGGAGGCTAGAGGCAGGCTCATCAGAAGCAGTGTGGCTTAGGTGATTGGAGAAGTATTTAGCTTTCTCCAGTTGGTCCTGAGTTAGAAGTAGGGACCAAAAAAATAGGGAAGCTGGCTCACAATTACTGACCAAATCCTGGGCCAGTCTCTGCACAGTTGTGGGTCTGTTATCACATCACCTGGCCATTGGCTACCGGGGTAGATATGGTGAGTGGCCTTTGACTTTTCTAGCTGCGGATTGCAGATGAGGTGAGAGATGGGGAACGGATGGTCTTTCCAGGGCAACTGGCCCACAGGCCTCCATACTCACTCACGCCAGCAGCGAGGACAACTGGTTGACTACTTTAAGGTGGGATCATTCAGTGTTGGCAACTCCTGGGCGTCTGTGTGAAGTGAACCAAAGTATCCTTGTCCTCTTTCCACAGTTCCCTGTTTGACTCTGGCTTCTGTCTTGCAGAGGCTACAGGAGAGTAAGAACCAGTCTTCCACTTCTGAGGACTCCGAAGATTGGCTCTCGAGTCACAGTTTAGAGTTTGAGAAACTCACCTTGGCTGATCTGGTAAAGCAGGGCACAGCTGTGCTGTAAGTTGAAGCCATTGCCCCTCACCCGACAGCAGAGTGATATACTCAGGCCCGGGTCCGTGTGGCTGTCTCATAAGGCTTTGCTTCTTCAGGGAGGAAGGCAGCAACATCATGCAGAAAATACGCTTCCCCACCCAGACCGTCTGCCATTTTGAATCAAAGCTTTCTGAGTAAGTAGGTTTCTCAGTAACTTCCTAAAACCCAGAGCTCAAGAATGGCCTCATTTCAGCAGTCTGAAAGTAACTTTGTTCAAGCAGCAACATCTATAGGGTCTTCAGCAGGACTGGTCCCACTTCCAGCCCCACCCTCACATTTTCTTAAACAATACGTCTGAAGGCTAGCGTTCAAGATGTCCACATCCCACATCATCTCACGCAGCGGGCCTGATTCTACCTCCTGACTCCAGCTTCCTGGGTACGGGTGATGACTTTCAGTGTCACATTGGTTTGGTTCATAGCTTTCCAAATATATATCAAAATATGTGTGCGTTCCCACTCCTAAGCCAGATTTTTATAACACGTAAAGAAGCAAATTCATAAACATGTACACACAAATGTATCACTTGATAATCACTAGGCAGGGCAGACCTGCAGATTACATCTCCATTGTGGCCATCTCTCATCCATAATTACTATTTGCCTGAGGTTCCTTCAAAGGTGATGATACTAATTAATAGCTAACATTTATCATTGTGTCAGAAATTCTGGTAAGGGCTGCATGCCTCTTATTTGTTACAACCAAAAACCTTATATTATTCTTATATTATTTTCAAGCTAGTTAGCCAGAAGTCAATAGCTAATGACCATTTACAGAATGACCAATTTGCCAAATTTATCAAAACATTTTAAGTATAAATTCTGTAATTTTTATTGGGTTGGAAGGTTAAATAGGTTTTAAGGAATTCTGCAATGTTTTGTTGGATTACTTTTAACTGTGAATTCAGCATTTTAAGGAATGTTCAAGTCTATTTAGCTAATTGATATTGAGCAAATTGATTTTCAGAGAACTGACTTTCAGTAAATTGACTTTTGGCAAACTGACTTAAATAAGGTCTTGTCATTATCTTCATGTTGGAGATGATGAAACTGGGGCTCCCAGCTTACCCCAGCCGTCCGAGGTCACAGAGCTAGTAGAGGCAGAACTGCATCTCAACACAAGTGTGTCTCCTGATGAAGCTCCTCCTCTCAGCTCTATTCACACTCGGGCATCGCTTTTAACTGCCCACCACCCACTGCCCGTGATTTCACTCTGACGGCCTTCCCTGCTCCTCTCTGGGCCCTCAAATCCCACATGGCCTCTGCAAGGACAAGTCACTCACTCTGAAGTGACTGAGTCCTTACTGTGAGCACCTGTTGCATGCTGGCCCCAGAATGTTTCTCAATAAGGGAAGATCAAGAAGTTCCCCAGGCTTCTTTTCAGAAACGAAGCTTTTTGTCAATCAGCCCTGTGAGAAACTACAGCAAACTGCCTCTGTTATGCCTTTAAGTCAGTCTCTAGGAGACTAGAAAGAGTTTCACCTGAGAAGTCACAGACCTAAGCAAGTACCAGAGTGTTCTTGTGCCATGTTCATCCTCCACACCTTGTCACAACAAACTATAGTCATTTACAGTGTGCGTTGCATCCCTAACAGAGCAGTGTCTACACACTCCATCCTTTTCACATTCCCTTTAGTATTTTACCTGGTGTCCTGGCAAAGCTGATGCCTTTAGTTTTTTCTTCGTTACACATTGCCTTAGACCCACTGGGGAAAAAAAATGCAATCCACACCTTCCTTCCGTGATAGTAACTTGCTCAGCGAAGAAGCTGGCCTCGTGTGATGTTTTCTCTGGTGTTTTCACAGAGCCATTGAACTCTATCAACAGAGGCTTCAGTGGCTCACAGAAAACAGCAATAAGGTAATAGATACAGATTGGTTCTTCGCTCCCTTTCACTGAGTCCATCTGTATGTGTCGGAACTCTGTTGCAGGTGCTAGAGCTCCATCTTAAATTGTCTTAAGCTAAAACAGAAATTACTTAAACTACGTTTATGAAAAACTCAAACATGGTTGCATCCCAGTGCTCAAATGGTGTCATCTCTTTGTCTCTGGGCTCTGCCTTCCCCTGAGTTGGTTTCGTTCTCGGAATGGCTGTCCCTGGGCTTGGGAGGTGCTCAGCAGCAGCTCAAAGTTTGCAGTCACCACCTAGATGACTTTAGTCAAAAGGGACATCACTTCCTGTTCCCTATCCACCCTCCCAGGTCCTGGGACTGGCCCTCATCAGACTAATTCAAACCAATCACCATAACCAAGGGGACGAAATATATTAACTGAGTAGGCCTGGAACTAGTGCTCACTCCTGGGAAAATAGAGGGGGGAGGTAAGTGGGAGGAGTCTGGGGAAGCAACCCCAAACTTCATGGACTGAAAAAGGGAGACAGGCAGTTAGTTGCACATGGAAAGCCAAAGGATATAATGGATATGTCTCTAATCTGTAAAGGACAAAAGCAGGGTTAGTTTTGTTTTGTTTTTGAATATCTATTTATTAAAAATTTATTTATATATTTGAAAGGTGGAGTTTGAGAGAGAGAGAGAGAGAGAGAGAGAGAGAGAGAGAGGTTTTCCATCTGTTGGCTCACTCCCCAGATGCCCACAATGGCTAGGGTTGGACCAGGCTGAAGCCAGGAACTTGTAGCTTATTCCATGTCTTCTACATGGGTGCAGGGGCCCCAACACTTGGGCCATCTTCCACTGCTTTCCCAGGTGCATTAGCAGGGAGCTGGATTGGAAGTACAGTAGCCAGGACCAGAACTGGCACCCATATGGGATGCCAGCACTGTAGATGGTGGCTTTACCCACTGTGCCACAGCACCAGCCCCCTATTTATTTATTTAAAAGACAGAGCTACAGAGAGGGAGAGACAGAAAGAGAGATCTTCTGCCTACTGATTCACTAGCCAAATGGCCACAATGGCTGGAGCACAGCCCATCTGAGGTCAGGAGCCAGGAGATTCTTCCAGATCTCCCATGTGGGTTCAGGGGCCCAAGCACTTGGGCCGCTTTCCACTGCTTCCCCAGGCCATAGCAAAGAGCTGGATAAGAAATGAAGCAGCTGGGACTCAAACCGGCACCCATACTGAAATGCCAGCAGCGCAGGCACCAGCTTTACCCGCTATACTACAATGCCAGCCCCCAAAAGCAGAGTTTGTAAGCTATCGGCATGCAGACCAGCTCTGGCCCATAGCTGTGCTTTCCTTGGCCCTGTAGTTTGAAGTAATTTTTTGATTAGTTGCCCAGGTTTTAAAGTCCTGATATTTTGCTTTTATGTCTGCTTTCAGACTTCTCTTGAAAGCCGAGAATATCTGGTATCACTGGGCTCCAGTTCCATCTTCATACTTGTCCGATTACTTCCATAGGATAAATTCCTAGAATTTCAATGGCTCGGTTTAAGGGAACGCATGTTTTCAATTTCAAAAGCCATCAAGCTCCATGAGCAGCTTTTTTTAGATTGTAAGAGGAATAGCACTGGCTCTAAATTTTAACTTCTTCTGGCCCCCAGGGACTGGCAATGTCCTGGGAAACCTTTTCATTTGGGCCGTGAATTCAACAACTATTTATTAGGTGCTTACTTCTTAGCTGGCTCTGTTCTAGGATTGAGGGTACAAACATGAACAATGAAGAGGTCCTGCCTCTGTGGAACTGACAGTCCAGTGAGGAGGGACAGACAATGAATAAATTAACAAATCATTTACACTGGCCCTCGGCATCATGCATTGGTTCTATATCCTCAAATCCAACTGACCATGGGTCAGAAATGTTTGAAAAAAAAAATTGTATCTGTACATACAGCCTTTTTTCTTGTCACTGTTCCCTGAAGGATACAATACAGCAACCATTTACATAGCATTTACATTGTACTAGGTATTAGAAGTAATCTAGAGATGGTTTGAAGTGCATGGGAGGATATACATAGGTTATTTGCAAATGCTGTGCAAGAGTTACAGAAAGAGAGAGAGAAAGTGAGAGAGAGAGAGAGAGAGAGAGAGAGAGAGGAAGGTCTTCCATCCACTGGTTCACTCCCCAAATGGCTGCAATCACCAGAGCTGGCTGATGCAAAGCCAGGAGCCAGGAGCTTCTTCCGGGTCTCCCACGTGCATGCAGGGCCCAAGCACTTTGGCCATTCTCTACTGCTTTCCTAGGCCATCAGTAGGGAGCTAGATGGGAAGTGGAACAGCTGGGACTTGAACTGGCACCCATATGGGATGCCAGTGCCACAGGTGCCAGTCCCATACTGTGCCATTGTTATAAGGGATATCGGTGGATCTTGGTATCTGGTGGGATTTTGGAATCTGAAATAAATCTCTTGTGGGTACCAAGGGATGACTGTACAAGGTCAGTGAGTGATAGTGCTCTAAAGAAAAATAAAACAGGGTGAGAGAGTAGAAGAAATAGAAGGAGGGCTACCAAAATGGTCGAGAAAACTCCTTCTGAGGAAGAAACATTGGAAAACACAGCTAAATGAAGCAGGGAAATGAGCCAGGCTGGGATCTAGAGGAGAATGTTCTAGAAAGAGGAAATAGCCAATGCAAAGGTCCTGAGACAGAAACGAGGTTGGCACCTTCGAAGCAGCAGGCAGGCCAGCATGGCAGGCTAACGTGAGTAATATGGACAGTGGAGGTGATGAGGTGAGGTGGGCAGGTTCAGACTAGAAAGGATCTTGCAGAGTCTGGGTTTGATGCCAGAAGGCGGGGTTTAAGCAGAGGAGTGATGTGATGTGACAAGTTTCCAAAGGACCCCTCCAGCTGCACAGATGGACCATGGACAACTGAGACAGAAGCAGACGGTAGGTGAGAAGGATAGGAGCTTTTCTTTTTCAAGATGGGCAATGGTGTAGCCTATCGGTATGGTGATGGAGACTGTGTGATACGTAAGGAGTAACTGATGTTCCAATAGAAGGGATGAGGGCAGTGGTAAAGTCCCTATTTGACAAGAGAAGATCCAGTAACACAAATCAAAGTACTGGCCTCAGAGCATAGATGTTGGCCTCAGATGCATTGTAACCAGGTAGGTTGCTTGATTCTGCACATGAAAAATTTTTTAAAATTACTTCTTTGGATTATTTCTGTTTTCTCAGTAAAACTGGAGGCAAAAATCATTTGCTGAGAGAGTGCATAAAGGAAATGTTGGAGATATGGGAGATGTAAAACACTCATCTCTGAGAGCAGAAGAGTGAATTGAACAGGAAAATGAAGATCTCATTAAGTAGTAGAATTTAAGGCAAAAAGCATCCAGTGGAACCTCCTGCCCCTAGCCAGCCTTCAATTTCACATGAACGAAAGTTCCAGTTCCCAGTGGAGCTGTAACAAGATGAACACTTAGGGACAGAATCAAACAGCACTGACAGGTATCTAGTAGTAGGTGTTAAAAACACAATTAGAGGGGCTGGCACCATGGCTCACTTGGTTAATCCTCCGCCTGTGGCACCGGCATCCCATATGGGCGCCGGGTTCTAATCTCAGTTGCTCCTTTTCCAGTCCAGCTCTCTGCTGGTGGCCCAGGAGGGCAGTGGAGGATGGCCCAAGTGCTTGGGTCCTGCACCCACATGGGAGACCAGGAAGAAGCACCTGGCTCCTGGCTTCGGATGGGCACAGCTCCAGCCATGGTGGCCATTTGGGGAGTGAACCAATGGAAGGAAGACCTCTCTCTCTCTCTCTCTCTCTCTCACTGTCTATAACTCTACCTGTCAAATAAAAAACAAACCAAAACAAAAACACAATTAGAGGGGCTGGCGCTGTGGCGCAGCAGGTAAAGCTGCTGCCTGTAGTGCCAGCATCCCATATGGGCACCAATTCAGGTCCCGGCTGCTCCACTTCCAGTCCAGCTCTCTGCTGTGGCCTGGGAAAATGGTAGAAGATGGCACAAGTCCTTGGGCCCCTGCACCGCGTGGGAGACCTGGAGGAAGCTCCTGGCTCCTGGCTTTGGATTGGCCCAGCTCTTGACATTGAGGCCATCTGGGGAGTGAACCAGTGGATGGAAGACCTCTCTCTCTCTCGCTCACTCTGCCTTTCAAATAAGTAAATAATTTTTTTTAAAAGAACACAATTAGAAACTCACAGAAATGTCACTACAGCCGATAGGCTCAATACATCTGCCTTTGATTGGTAAAGCAGGCTAGAAATAAATAGGAATATAGAAAAATAAAATAAGACAAGCAAATATCATTAGGTATCTTGCAAACAAAGGGTGCTTTTCTGTAACCTCCAGGTTTTCTGTAATGAATGTGTAAATTACTTTATAAATGTGGACAATAAATATTTAAAAAAGCATTTAAAATTAGGCTCCCACAGTATGGGATCAGGCAATGCCCAGAGTTGAATTCAGCACGTTGGGTTGAAGGGAGTACTTGCACCTCTGCACCGTGCCAAGCTGCTTGGTGCCCAGCCTTGCAGGAGCACAAAGCCACTCTGGTTGTTTGCAAATTGCCCTCTTTGGTTTTAGGCATTCGGCCTCATCAAAGGGGCCAAAGTAGGCATCCTCATTGACACATCGGCAGTCGGCAGTGGCCCTCAGAGAGAGCAGTTCCAGAGTGACCTCGTGGTGAGTTTCTCTGGCACAGAGAAGTATTTGGAATCACCATACCACTCCCACCCTCCCCCAACACCAGGTTGCTAACTGGGTTTGTTGATAGCAAATGCAAAATAGGGTGTTTTCATAAAGAACAGTGCCCCTGTAATTAGCACCTGTGTTAAAGAAATGAGTTCCGTGAATCCCAACTGCAGAGTTGTTTTTTGGTTGCAGTGTGAACTTCTAGTATTCAACCAGGCCTGGCCTCCCTGCAAAGAGGATGTGAAGACAGCACTTGGTTGGAGGCTGGCTCCACCGAGCAGAGCACAGGGTTTCTGGCCTCCTCTGGCTTCCTTGGCACATCCATAATGGAAACTAAGAACTCTGGAGACAGGTCCTCGCCACCTCCACCACGTCTGCACTGTGGGACTTAATCTCCCTTTGCCTCAGTTATACCCTTCTGTAAAACGGGTATAATAGCAATAAGGTTGCCGTGAGAATGAAAGGCATTTGTACAAGTGAAGTGCTCTGTGCACAGTCTAGCATAGAGAGTAGCCTGCGTCTCTGTGAGTGATGTGGAGTGGCTGCTTTATTATGGGAATCGTAGAGTTTGGGATGGGGAGCTCAGACAGCCCCAGTAGCTATTCCTATAAAGGTCTGCCAGAGCCTCTATAAGGCTCCATACGGGCCAGTCGTCCAGACTCGTACCCCATTCCTGGTCTCAATGGATAGTGGGGGCAGAGGGCACCCCTTCATGACAAGTCCTCAGGGCCAAGGTGGGCTGGTCTCTTATTAACCAGGCCAAAGTTGGTGTCAGTAGCATACAGGTGAAATTTCTAGCTGGCCAGGAAGAAGGGGGAGGGGTTGTGCTTCCTGCTGGATACTCCCCAGTGGCAGCTCAGGGACCTTGAACTGGCTGATATCGTGCCCACTGTTCCACCCCCAGCTCACATGCCTTGGAGAGAAACCGCTGCCCCGACCTCTGTCTTCTCCCTGTGGTGCCAGGGTAGTTAAATGCCAGGGGTCCAGCCTTAGCACCTGTGGAGACGGACAGCCAAGATGCTCGTGAGACCCAACGAGGGGAAGCAAATGTCAACTTAGGGCAGGTTGCTCAGCTGGCCATCAAGCGTCCCGGTCTCAGCCCAGCGGGGCCAGCCAGGGTGAGAAAGGTGAAGCAAGGCTGCACGTGACCCCTGGCTCTGGGAGCCAGTGATGTCCTTTTGCCCAGCAGAGCCTCATTGACGAGCAGCTGAGCCACAAGGAGAAGCTGTATGTCCTGTCCTTCGGCACCACCACCAGCTCCCTCTGGCCAGACCCAGTGGAAGTCAGCGCCTCCACGTGAGTGGCTGCCCAGCCTCCTCCAGGGGGTCTACTTGTTCGTTTTCCTTCCCAAGCGCCAGGGTCTTTGCTGAATGATTAAGGCCGCTCTAGCCTTGAATCCCAAGGCTGACGGTCCCTGGGCTACCTCAACAAGTCCGTTAACTCTCATCTGCAAAGGGAGGCAAGTGATGCCTGCTCCTTACAGAGCTCTTGTGAAGAGGAAGTGAAAATTAAGTGCCTGACACCTGTCAAGAACTCAGTGAATCTGAGCATTGTTTACCCTGATTCCACTGAAGTTGCACAGCCGATCTCCAGGATGTTACCTTGACATTGCCTGGCCAGAAGTTCAGCTTCAGTTGTTTCTGGACTTCCCTTGTCACATCTCTCTCATATCTCTGCCTTGTGTACTATTACTTACTCTCTGCAACTTGTACTATTGTGATTTTATCTTTATATCAACTCTATTATTTTTGAAAGGTTTATTTAGTTAGTTAGTTTAAAACGAAGAGAGAGAGAGAGGTCTTCCCGTCTACTGGTTCATTCCCCAAATGGCCAAAATGGCAGGGGCTGGCCAGGCTGGAGCCAGGAGCCTAAAAGTTTATCCAGGTCTCTCGCATGGGTGACAGGGGCCCAAGCACTTGGGTCATCTTTTGTTCCTTTCCCAGGTACATTAGCAGAGAGCTGGATCAGAAGTGGAGCAGCCATGACTCAAATTAGCATTTATGGGACGCTGGTGTTGCAGGTGGTGGCTCAACCTGTGTGACACAGTGCTGGCTCCTCTGTCTATTATTGAAGGGAATTTTCTACCAGTATAATAATTGAGAAGTCCACATCACTTGCCATAATTAGAAAACAGCCATGAAAAAATTAAATTCAATGAAAGTAAAGCAATGATTCCTGCTTGAAACCTATTGGCTGGAAAGGCCTTCTCGCTGTTCAAAAGGGAACTTAGACAGTTCCGATAATGAGAGAGACAGACACATTCACACCAAGCTGAGATTTCCTTTTTGTCTGGCTGGAAGAGAAGTGGAGAGAGCAGAACTGTTTGATTAGTGCCCTGTAAGATATTTATCCAAGGACTGAATTAAGAAATTTTCCTGGGGTCAGCTTTGTGATGCAGTGGGCTGAGCCATCTCCTGCACTGCCGGTGCATCACATATGGATGCTGGTTCAAGTCCCGGCTGCTCCACTTCTGATCCAGCCCCCTACTGATGCTTCTGGAAAAGCAGAGGAAGATGGCCCAAGTCCTGGGCCCCAACAGCCACGTGGAAAACCTATAAGAAGCTCCTGGCTTCGGTCTGGCATAACCCAGGCCATTGTGGCCATTTAGGGGAGTGAACCAGCAGGTGGAAGATCTCTCTCCTCTCTTCTCTCTCTCCATAATGCAGCCTTTCAAATAAATAAATAAATAAATTTAAAAAACCAGAAATTTTCCTTCTTACCAGTAGTATATATCCCAGATGGCATGAGACAGAGCCATGGAGCCATGCTGTCTTCTCTTAGAACTCTGCAAGTGTTAGGAAGTTAACTGTATGATTCACACTGAAGTCTGGCTCCCAGCAGAGTTGGCGGGGTGTGTGAGGGAAGAAAGGACTCAGCCCCAGAGCCTCAAACAGCAGAGACACTGAAATCTCAGGGTCTGAAGTTGATCTGGTTTAGAATCAGTTTCACGGCCGGTGCCGCGGCTCACTAGGCTAATTCTCCACCTGCGGCGCCGGCACACTGGGTTCTAGTCCCATTCCGGGCGCCAGATTCTGTCCCGGTTGCCCCTCTTCCAGGCCAGCTCTCTGCTGTGGCCAGGGAGTGCAGTGGAGGATGGCCCAAGTGCTTGGGCCCTGCACCCCATGGGAGACCAGGAGAAGCACCTGGCTCCTGGCTTCGATCAGCGCGGTGCGCCGGCAGCAGTGTGCTGGCCGCGCTGGCCATTGGAGGGTGAACCAACGGCAAAAGGAAGACTTTTCTCTCTGTTTCTCTCTCTCTCTCACTGTCTAACTCCGCCTGTCAAAAAAAAAAAAAAAAAAAAAAAAAAAAAAAAAAAAAAGAGAGAGAGAGAGAGAATCCGTTTTACTAGTTGCTTACAGCGTCATCTTAGGTAAATCCTAACTCAGAGCCCTAAAGATACCCACCTTAAAGAATTACTGTTAGGCCTTAGTGAGTTAATGTCACCCCGGACCTGGAACCTGGTCAGAGAACTACAGTGAGCATCCTGCTGGTGTCTCCTCCCAGCCTCCAGGAACTCAAGCTCTGGGTCAAGAAACTGCAGCCCGAGGGAGGCAGCAATTTGCTACAAGCCCTGAAGAAAGTCTTCACTCTGAAGGAGCTGAATTCTCTAGTGACCATCATGGGCAGCTGGTAGGTCTCCTTTCCTAAGCAGGTATCAGACTACATGAAGGGGGCATTGTAGAATCAAACCACGGTTTGATCAAAGATCAGCAAACAGAGCTCTTCACACTTGAAACAAGAATCGTGTTCACAGACGGGTGAGACAGGGCAGCCAGGGCCAGCCAGGCCTGCAGTCCACCCCACCCTGCATCTTACTACACAGGTGACCTGGGACACAGTGGTCAGTTTAGAATGGACAGATAGTCCCTGGAATTACCATTTTTCTCTGGAATGTTCTCAGAGTGGCTTGACCCCAAGTGCCCACTTCTTTTCTGTCTCCTCCCCAGCCCCGATCAGCCTTCTGAAATCCTGTCTGACTACATCCAACAGGCCACGATGGGAAGGGGCCTCTTCATCCATGTTGTTACCTACAAATGTGATGGTCAACTGCCCCCCGTAAGTACTTGAGTTTCTCCAAGGTTCCTCTTGGGTTTGGCGATACGAGTTTGGTCAGCCTTCAAGGATCCATGCCAGGTCAGCCCCTCTAATGCATGGTCCAGAACATCCCTCTACTGAACCAAGTTCTCCCGTTAGGAAAAAGGGAAGCATTAGCCAGTTGGAAGGTGCCAGCAAAGAGAAGGCTTGTGAGAGTACTGGGGTGGCCCTGGAGAGGCTGACGCTGTCCCCATCCCCGCAGGCTGTCCTGAAGAACCTTGCAGAAGCCCTTGGAGGCTGCTACCACTGCTACAGCGTGGAGACAGAGGTAAGCCCTTCTGCCCACACACTGTCCCACTCCTTCCCCTCAGCCTGCCTGCAAGGCTGTGCCCGGGGAATGTGGGCCAGGACAGACCACGTGTGTACTTGTTCCACCCACACCCAGTGTGTAAAATCAAGTTCAAATGTGTGGAGGATCCAGGACAGCCTGAACTTACAAGGACTCCTTTGGTCAGCAGACTGCATGATGAGCTGACTGCATGCCTGTGAGCTTGAGTCCGAGGCCTTGCAACGCCTGGCACCAGACTTCTTGGTCACAGCTGCCGTTTACAGAGGCCTTGGGCTTCCTTTGCTCCCCCAAAGTACTGAGTTTGAAATGGTCGCCTCCATTGTCTCTCCTAGAGAGATCCTTGCAACAGCACCCACGGCAGGGCAGATCAAACAGGCACTTCTGTACCAATCCATCCGTTAGTGTCCTTGTCCCAGTTAGTAAGTAAATATCATCCACCCCAGTCACAATGGAGGTAGCGATTAGCAAAGGTGCGTAGACCCATTTGGCAGATGGAGAATCCGACCACCTGTTCAGCTGTGCCTGTTAATAATTATAAGGAAATAAGTGTGTTCAAGTGTCCCAGAGTCCAACATTTCATTCCAGGGCACTGGGGTCACACAGTCCCCTTCTTGGTACCCAGTTGCCTAGACTCCTTTTGTAGGTGCCACAGACTGCAGGGGCTAGGAAGTGAAATAAATGAAGGGGACTGGCTGGTTAAGAAATATTTTATCTGGGATGGGTGTTGGCACAGCAGTTAAGACGCCACTTGGAATGCCCACATCCAGTACTGAGGCCTGGCTCCTCCACTTGAGACTCCACTGCCTCCTTCTAATGGGCACCCTGGGAGGCAGCAGGTGGTGGCTCAAGTAGTTGGGTCCCTGCCACCCATGTGGGAGACCCGGATGGAGTTCCAGGCTCCTGACTTTAGCCTGGCCCAGCCCCTGCAGCTAGGGCATTTGGGAAGTGAACCAGTGGATCTATGATCTCTCTGTCAGTTTCTCTCTCTCTCTCTCTCTCTCTCTCTCTCTCTCTCTCTCTCTCATTTTCAAGTGAAATGAAAATAAATAAATTTAAATGTTTACAAATACTTTACCTTAAAAGCTAGGGCCCTCCCCTCTTGATTTAACTCTTGTTTTTCCACTCTGGATGGAGAGATGTGAGATTGTCTTCTTTGATGTGAAGGAAACAAACTGTACAACGATGACAAAAATTCCAGCTGATGCTCTGATGGGAGCAACAGAGAGTCTAGGGACTGTGGCAGCCCAGAAGCCCCTGGCCCATCTAAAGCCTCAGCTGACCACTGCTCTGTAGAATGTAGTCTTGGTGTTACCAGGTCCTCTGATTTTTCAAGAGGAGTCAGAAATCTGGTATATGTGTGTGTGTGTTTTTTTCTTTTTTTAAAAATAACATAAAATTTACATAACATGAAATTAACACTAAATGAACTAACCAGTGACTTTTAGTGAAAAACAAAACAAAACAGTGACTGGTAGTACAATCAGAGTTGCACAATCCCTACCTTTTTTCTGAGTTCCAAAATATCTTCATCACCTAACAGAAGGCCCTGTACCCATAAAGCAGTTACTCCCATTTCTCTTTCCCCCAACCCCCGGCAATCACTAATCTGCCTTCTGCCCATATGGATTTGCCTGTTCTGTGTATTTCACTTAAATGAAATCATGTACACTTTGTGTCTGTCACCTTTTGCTGTCATGATGTTTTCAAGGTTCACCATGTGATAGTATGAGTCGGAACTTTATTCCTTTTTATGGTTAGAAACCGTTCCATTGTCTAGATGCACCATGTGTTGTTTATCCATTCATCTGTTGATGGACAGTTGGGTTGTTTCTACCTTTGGGCTATTGTGAACAATATGTGAATGTCAGAGTCCCTGTTTTCAGTTATTTGGAGTGTATAACTAAAGTAGAACTGCTATATCGATTCTGTGTTTAATCTTTTTAAGGTTTATTTATTTATTTGAAAGGCAGAGAGAGAGAGAGAGAGCAAGGGAGATAAATAGAGATAGATAGAGATAAGAGATAAAGATAGAGATAGATAGAAAGAGAGTGTGTGTCCTCCATCCATTGGTTACTACCCAAATACTGTAGCAACTACAGCTGGGCCAGGCTGAAGCCAAGAGCCTAGTACTCCATCTGGGTCCCCTACATGGGTGGCAGGGGCCCAAGCACTTGGGCCATCATCTACTGCTTTTCCAGGTGTGTTAACAGGGAGCTGGATCAGAAGTGGAGCAACCAGGTACACCGATATGGGATGCTTGTGTTGCAGGTGGGGGCTTAACCTGCAGTGCCACAATGCTGACCCCTGTGTTTTAAGTTTCTAAGGAACCCTCAAACTGTTTCTGCATCAGCTGCACCATTTTACATTCCTACCAGCACTGTTCAAGGATTCTAATTCTCTACATCGTCACCAGCACTTGCTATTTTCAATTTTTTATTATCTTTTTTTTTAAATGATTTAAAAGGCAGAGAGACAGAGAAAGAGGGAGAGACCCAGACTCTCCACTAGTTCACTCCCCCAAATGTCTGCAACAGCTAGGACTGGGCAGGGCCGAAGTCAGGAGCCAGGATCTCAATCTGGGGCTCCCATGTGGGTAGCAGGAACTCAGCTACTTTAACCATCACTTGCTCTCTCCCAGGGTGAGCATTAGCAGGAAGTAGAACTGGGAGCAGAGCCAGACCTTGAACCCAGATGTTCTGATATGGGATATGGGCATCACAAGCAGTGTCTTAACCTCTAGGCCAAACACTTGCCTCTAAATTATCACTATTACAGCCACCCTATGTAAAGTATTTCTTTGCATTTATAAAGTTAGAGAAACCTTCAACCATTCAAAAATCCTAAAGGTCAGTACTGTACAAATGGAACAAAATGTGTTTCCAGACTCTGTCTGGTACCTGGACCCTAGTTATAACGCCTGGTGTGTGCAGTCTGCCACTCAGTTCTGGGAACTGACTTGGCTGCTTGCTCTTTCTGCCTTGGCCACTGGTAGCCAAATAACCGCTAGATGGCTGTTTGCTCCCACCACCCTCAGCTCTGTGCCAGCCGGGAAGTGGATGAGCTCCTGGCAGAAATGCAAAAGGCCCAGAGCCTCCTCAGCCACATCCAAGCCCTGCGCCAGAGCAGTCCGTGTGAGGAGCTAACCTGCATGCCGAAGCAAGTAGGCGGTGCGCAGGTACCTGAAGTGAGGGCTTTACTGTAGTGTGTTCGGAGCCAACCTCTTAGAACTTCCGTTTCTCACCTTGTAAGAGGGGGTTGGGGGGAGGAGGAGGCTGGGGTGGATCAGGACTCCCTGAATGATTTGGTGTGGGAGTTACCAAGTAGTTCCCTGAAGCCTTGTGTTTTGAGCCCGCAATGGGTGGTGGGGGTTGGGGGCCGACCATGATCTTGACATCTGTGGTGCTGATCTTAATGGTAATGGTAAGGGAAGGGGTGAGGAGGATGAAAAAATAAGAGAGAATGAGTTGCTGGGTACATCCCCATTTTTCCTAAAAGTTCCAGAAATATCAAGAGAAGGAGACGGGGATGATGCCTTTGATTTTCCAGGTAATGCTTTAAGTTTCTCCACTTGGGGGGCTGGGTTGGGGGTGGGGTGAAGGACTTTCCAGCTCTAAAATATGATTATGCAATGAGGGTTTTCTAATTGAATTTAGATTTCCACAGAGATTGCAAAAGGGCCACTCACAAGTCTCTTGCCTAAACCTCCAAAGCATGAAGCTCCTCTCACAATTGAGTTCCCAAACTTGGATAAGACTTCTGCAGAATGGCTCAAGGTTAATAGTCTAAAAGGTAAATCACCAGAGAGGGCAGAACCCAGGGTGCCACTGACTGACAAAAGGACTCGAACCCTTGGAACTTCTTGCAGAATGCCCAAGAGTCCCACTGGTGGTTTTTTTTTTTTTTTTTTCAGCTAAGAAATTAAGCCTTTATCAGGTTCTGGCACCCAACGCATTCTCTCCTGTGGAAGAATTCGTGCCTATTCTCCAGAAAACTGTGTCATCAACTATCCATGAGGTAATGTAAATTCAAATTAGGAGTTCCCTCCAGTCCTCTACAGGGGAGCTCCCTTGTGTGTTTCCCCATCTTTTTAAATGTTCACAGAGCTGGAGGAGCATGAGCCTGAGGGCCTGGTCTAGGGTGCAGGGCTTCCACCAAGCACTCTAGAACACTCAGCTCCACTGTGACCGCCGTTTTGCAAAGATCTGAAAAAGAAACATGGGAGATGGGATAAGAGGGAGCAAACGAAGTGCCACGGTTACCTCCTCCAGGACACATTTGCTCCCTTCATGCCCTCACTGTACCTCGTACAGACTTCCATTGCTCCTATCATGTGTTACCAGCTATAAATCCCCACCAAGGATGAGCCCTTCAAGAGAAAAAAAAAAAAAAACTCTTCTCTCCAACTCTGTATCCCCAGTGTCTAGTACAAGTAAACAGTCAATGTTTACAAGATGGCTGTGTGGATGGGGAGATGGAAGGATAGAAAGAAGAAGGAAAAGAATGAGGAATAGGTGGATGGGTGGAAGTGTTGGTGAGTGAATGGGAAAAGAGGTAGGTGGACAGTAAGAAGGATGGGTGGTAGATGGAGATGTGAGCAAATAGAAGGATGGAAGGGAAAAATGAATGGATGAATGACAGGACGGAATGAAGGAAAGATGCAGGGAAATTTTAAGAGTGAGGAAGAGCATTTGGTGCAGCATCCCGTATCAGAGTGCCTGGTCCAAGTTCCAGCTATTCTTCCTACCAACCTCCTATGCTGGGCAGCAGGTGACAGCTAGTATCTGGGTCCCTTCCACCTACCTGGGAGACCCAGATGAAATTCTAGGCTCCTAGCTTTGGCCTGGCCCAGTTCTGACTCTTACGAGCATTTGGGGAGTGAATTAGCAGATGGAAGATCTTTCTCCATCTGTTCCTCTGTCTCTCTGTGTTCCAAGAAAGGATGAGAAGGATGGAGAACTGGAAGGAAGGAATAATAAGTGAGTAGAAAGAAAATGGAAAGATGGAAGAATGAAAGGAAGGAGAGGGTAGTGACAGACACATAGTTCTGCAGTCGGTGGGTGAATGACTGGATGACTGGACTGACAGAGAGACAGATGTGAGAGCTCGGCAGAGGATCAAAGAACAGGATGAATAAATTGGATTTTCCAGGTGTCCATGAAGGCCTATCTGTGTTCCCAAACCATGGCCCGTATGTATCAATGTCTCAGCGTGCTCCCTAGTACCAAAACCCGCCAACCACCAACTGCAGCTTAATGACTCTGATGTTCAGAAGAGCTTTCCGGGAAGACAGCCTGGCTTGCTGTCAGGCATGGATAGTTCAAGGGCTCACTCTCCTGCAGGTGCTCAGACCGGCTCCACACCAGGCATCACCTGCTGTAGCTACTGCTGCTGCTCCTGCTGGGCATGTACGGGTGGGGGCAGTAACCTGACCCCGGATGTGTTGAGGGCGTCTGATTTGCAGAACCCAGTACTCAGAGTGAACATAAAATCCTTCCCCTCACCTGTTTCTCTTCGCTGGCTCCCCCTCCTGCCCTTGCCCGAGTGCAGAAGGCAATGGTACAGTTTGAGTGGCACGACGGGACAGTGAAGAATATTCATGTGGATCCGCCCCTACTCTATGAGTACCAGGTCAGTGATGAGAGCACTCAGTCAGAATGCAGGGCGTGGGAAGGGAGGATGGCGGGACTACGGAGACACCAAGCCATTCACTGAATTCCTTCATGTAAACAGACTGTGTGTTCCACCTACACATGTCTCTAGAACTTTCTCCAATCGCCAACCCAGGCAGGGACCTGAATTCCTCAAACAAAAGTCTCTAATCTTTTGGATCAAGTTCTCTCTCCTGCCCCATTTGACACAATGCGATACATTGACTTGTCTCTGCCTAGCCTTGGGGCAGACTTGGCGGAGGATACCCAGGGACTTGACACATGATTCCTAGAAGTCATCTAGAGTATGCCTGCTGTCATCTAGGCTCCTAGGGGCGCATGCACACAGCACTCACTCTCTGGGCCCATGCTTTTGCAGAAACAGCTCAGCAGAGCCGTGCGAATATTTGAGAGGCGGATTGAGTGGCTCTCCCTGGCCAGCAGACGAATCTGGGGCACTGTCTGTGAAAAAAGGTATCTTCCCCAGGCAGTGCTCTTGTCCCTCATGGGTCTTGTATGTGGCACAGCAAGGGTCCAACTCACAGATCTTCTGTTGGTAGCATCAGAAGTCATCACTTAGAGTAGGGATCAGAGCAGAAACCCTGGGGGAGGAAAAGGTCACCGCTCTGTTGTCAACATCGATGATGTCATTGTGTGTCACTCAGGATTCTTTCAGTTAGAAAGCAGCAGAAACTAAATGCCAAATTGGCTTAAACAAAACAGGAAAGTCTGATTAAGGTAACTGAAAAGTCTAGGCTAGATTTATTTTTTATTTTAAAGATTTGTTTATTTATTTGAAAGGCAGAGTTCCAGAGAGGCAGAGAAAGAAAAAGAGAGAGATCTTCCATCTGCTGGTTCACTCCCCAAATGGTCACAATGGCCAGAGCTGGGCTGATCCGAAGCCAGGAGCCAGGGGCTTCTTCTGGGTCTCACATGCAGGTGCAGGGGCCCAAGAAATCGGGTCATCTTCCACTGCTTTCTCAGGCCATTAGCAGAGAGATGGATTTGTCACATGGGCACCAATTTAAGTCCTGGCTGCTCTACCTCTGATCCAGCTCTCTGGAGCTATTGTGGCCATCTGGGGAGTGAACCAGCAGATGGAAGACCTTTCTCTGTCTGCGTCTACCTCTCTGTAACTCTGCCTTTGAAATAAATAAATAAATCTTTAAAATATATATATAATATTTTTAAAAATATTATATATTTATTATAAATTATATATAAATATATAATATATATTATGCAATAAATATATAAATATATATTATATGTATTTTTATATATATATATATGTATATAAACAGCCTTTAAAAACATCGGCTGTTCTTTAAAGGAAAGAAGTTTGGGGCCGGCGCTGTGGCTCACTAGGCTAATCCTCCGCCTTGCGGCGCCGGCACACGGGGTTCTAGTCCCAGTCGGGGTGCCGGATTCTGTCCCGGTTGCCCCTCTTCCAGGCCAGCTCTCTGCTGTGGCCAGGGAGTGCAATGGAGGATGGCCCAGGTGCTTGGGCCCTGCACCCCATGGGAGACCAGGAGAAGTACCTGGCTCCTGCCTTCAGATCAGCGTGGTGCACCGGCAGCAGTGTGCCAGCTGTGGCGGCCATTGGAGGGTAAACCAACGGCAAAGGAAGACCTTTCTCTCTGTCTCTCTCTCTCTCACTATCCACTCTGCCTGTCAAAAATAAAAAAATAAAAAAAAAAAAAAAGGAAAGAAGTTTGGGAAAATCATCCTATGCAGTTCTTGCCCCTCAAACCGTCTTCATGCTGAGACTTTCTTCCATTACGCAGTTTGCTGCAAGGGAGGGTTCCACGGTCTCCTGTCCACTGTTGGCAACTCACCACTGTTGCCCTCAACCCATGGGGGAAGATTTTGGCCAGCTAAGAATTTGGCATGCAAACCCTCCCTCACCTCTGGAAAACACTTTAAATAGTAAAATGGAACGAAATAAACAGTATCTGAGAGATTCGGTTCTCCTCTGAAAGCTTGTGTTTCTTTTTAGGGTGGTTTTACTGCTGGATATCTCTGCGACCAATTCCATGTACATTATTCATATCCAGCACTCCCTGAGGCTGCTGCTGGAGGAGCAGCTCTCCAACAAAGACTCCTTCAACCTCATCGCGTACGTGCCGTGTAGCCCGGGGTGGGGAGGGTGGGTCACGTGTGGGCTCGGACGCCGTCTCTGGGCTGAGGCTGAGGGCAGGCTGCTGGGTGGTGGATGTTCTGAGTGTTAGCAGCCTGGGATGGCCGTGGTTTATCTGATTTGGGTGATCCTGTTTGGGGCGTTGAATAATTCAGTGGCTGCAGGACTGTCCCACTGGGGCGAAGGTGATAAGTGGCCCCAGAACATGCTGCTTGATCAGCCAGGGGAAAGTAACTCAGCTCATTGCCCCATTTGGCTCCCGAACCAACAAACACAAAAGAGAGGGGCCCCAGCCATGAGCTGGTCTTTGTCCTCGGCTTGGTTCTAACATGCCACAATATGTCTAAGATGTAGGACCCTGAATAAAAACCTAAATAAATATTTAAACGTAAATAAAAATTATACATATAGAAGTGTAAAACTATGCATTTAAATGATGTGTAACTTGTATACATAGTTTTAAAATTATGTGTAATTAAAAATTTTATATATTGTATAATTTCTTAAATTATTATATATGTATATTTGTTGCCTGTAACTTTTTAAAATAATTTATATTTTAAGCCGGCGCCGTGGCTCAATAGGCTAATCCTCCACCTTGCGGCGCCGGCACACCGGGTTCTAGTCCCGGTTGGGGCGCCGGATTCTGTCCCGGTTGCCCCTCTTCCAGGCCAGCTCTCTGCTATGGCCAGGGAGTGCAGTGGAGGATGGCCCAGGTGCTTGGGCCCTGCACCCCATGGGAGACCAGGAAAAAGCACCTGGCTCCTGGCTCCTGCCAGGATCAGCGCGGTGCGCCGGCTGCAGCGGCGGCCATTGGAGGGTGAACCAGCGGCAAAAAGGAAGACCTTTCTCTCTCTGTCTCTCTCTCTCACTGTCCACTCTGCCTGTCAAATAAAATATCACAAAAACACAAAACTAATTTATATTTTATTTACTTGAAAGGCATAGTTACAGAGAGAGAGAGAAAGAGAAAGAGAGAGAGATCTTCCATCTGCTGCTCATTCCCCAAATGGCAGCAATGCCAGGGCTAGGCCAGACCAATGCCAGGAGCCAGGAGCTTCCTCCAGATCTCCCACATGCATGCAGGGGCCCAAGAACTTGGGCCATCTTCCTTTGCTTTCCCAGGTGCATCATCAGAGAGCTGGATCAGAAATGGAGTAGGCAGGACTCGAACTGGCACCCATGACAGGCGGTGGTCTTACCTCATCATAACATCGGCTCTGCCTGTAACTTTTATATAGTTGTAATTGTAGGGTAGAACCCATTTTGTTCTTTGATTTTTTTTCTACTTACCTTGTTTCTCTTTGTTGCCTATGTATAATTTTAAAATACAACATTTTAAAAATTAATATAAATTAAAAATTATACATATGTAGCTTTAACAATTGCATACTTTTTCTAGCTAATTAGGGAAGAAAAGAAAGAAAGGAATCCAGTTGAGGTGAGCGTTCTTTTTTTTTAAAACTAGTTTGAGAGACACAGACAGAAAGAGAGAGCTCCCATTTGCTAGTTCACCCCCCAGATTCCTGTAACAGCCAAAGCTGGACTAAGTCCACAGCCAGGAGCCAGAAACTCCATCCAGGTCTCCCTTGTGTGTGACAGAGACTAAGTACTTGAGTGGTCACCTACTGCCTCTCAGGGCCCACGTTTGCAGGAAGCTGGAGTCAGGAACGGGAGCTAGGCATTGACCCAGGTGCTTTGCTGTAGACCATCTTAACTGTGGCATCTTAACTGACATGTTAACTACTGGGCTAAACACCTGCCCTGAAATGCTCGCTTTTACTCAACCTCTCACAAAATAGGGCATGTTCTAACCCTAGCAAGACAGCAGTTAACACCAGGTGTGATTCAGTACCATAGCCTAATCTTTTCCTAATAAATTCTACAGAAAATGCTGAGAGAAACACTTTAGACAAGATTTTATTTACCTAGCCATCTATTCAGTCAGCGAAGCTTTATTGGAAACCTGCTACATACCAGTCACTGCTGGCATGGTGCATATGGAGGTAAATGCACACAGTACCTGTTCTTAAGGAATTTATGGCCTAGTGGTGGGAGACAGGACTGTTATACAGTAAGTGCTATGAAATGTGTTCTTAGAAATAGGTAAGGCCAGCGCCATGGCTCACTTGGCTAATCCTCCGCCTGCGGCGCCAGCATACTGGGTTCTAGTCCCGGTTGGGGCACCAGATTCTGTCCCGGTTGCTCCTCTTCCAGCCCAGCTCTCTGCTGTGGCCTGGGAAGGCAGTGGGGGATGGCCCAAGTGCTTGGGCCTGCACCCTCATGGGAGACCAGGAGGAAGCACCTGGCTCCTGGCTTCGGATCAGCGCAGCGTGCTGGCCATGGTGGCCATTTGTGGGGTGAACCAACGGAAGACCTTTCTCTCTGTCTCTCTCTCACTAACTCTGCCTGTCAAAAAAAAAAAAAAAAAAAAAAGAATGTGTTTTCTTTGTTTCCTTCAAAGGTTTGGAGCCACAATTGAAAGCTGGAGGCCAGAGCTGGTTCCTGTGACCCACGACAACTTACAGAGCGCCTGGCGGTAGGTGGCAGGCAGAGCTTCCGTGCTGCTGCGTCTAAGGACAGCCTCCATGATGTTGCTTCCTCTATCCCTGTCCCCACCAGGAAGTAGCTCTCTAGGGTCCCTGCCCTGGAGCAGTCACGAGCAGCATTCAGAAAACCACTGCCTTTGGTGCGCTGCCTCCCCTCTGGGCCTCATGGGTGGCTGCCCTCAGCATCGTGTCCCTGCCTTCCCAGGTGGGCCCTGACCCTGCAGTGCGGGGGCAGCAGAAATATCCTCAGTGCCCTGCGGAAGGCCGTGGAAGTGGACTTCAAGGACAAGGACAAACACCAATCCCAGGGCATCTACCTCTTCACCGGGGGCATCCCCGACCAGGACGTGGTACGTACACTGAGTCCTGGGCATCCGTGAGCCTCTGTGACCCGTCCAGCTTCTCCTGGGAGGATGCCTGGCAGGGGTCTTTCCAGTGTGCTGTTCTAAGCCAGGACTTTACGATGCAGACAAGCGCCTGGGGATGTTATTAAAATGCACTGCCCAGTTCAGCAGGTCTGGGGGGAGTGGGACCGGAGAATCTGTCTCTAACAAGCTCCCGGGGGACACTGATGCTGCCACTCTGCAGAACACAGCTGGTGTCACCAGACTGCTGGGCGCAACTCCCTGACCCTCCCTAGTAAGACCCAGACTCATCTCTTTCTATCTTGGGTCCAGCGTGCTGATCCAGGTGCCTCATGGGCTCTCAAGAAAGATGATCAGGCTGAACTGGTCTGAAGCCAGCAGCTATGGGCCCCTCTTGCCTTCCCTCTCCCATAGTCCATGCTCTGCGCCTACATGGCAGAGGCCTGTAGCGGCTGCGACCTCCAGTTGAACGTGTGTCTCTTCTACGTGGGTGAGCCGCAAATGGACAGCATAGCCCCTGCCTGCTATGCCAGCCGCACTGACACAGCCACTGCCTACAAGGAGGTCACCCGGGCTACTGGTGGCCGCTTCCACTGGTTTGGAGACACAGGTGTGTGAGAGTGCTGCGGGAGTAACAGAGGCTGGGACACACCAGTTGCTTTCCAACCTCCCTGACTCACAGAGGAGGTCACTCCTAGATGCATGGCGTGCCTGTGGTCACAGAGTGGCCTGACTGGGGCTGGAGTTCTGTTTGCTAGATCTTTCTTTCCATGAAAAGTGCTGGGCATGGCCATTTACACTATTGGTGATCGTTACTGATAACAGCAAATATGCACAGACCAGCTGTTACGGACCAGACACACTTCTAAGCATTTTACATATGATTTGTTCCTCATAATAACCTGTGAAGGAGGTGATCATTACCCCCATTTTACAGACGAGGAAGCTGAGAGACAAAAGAGCCCCAAAGCACACAGGTAGTTAAGTGGCAGAAGCAGGAGCTAAACCCAGGCAGGCCAGGTTAGCCATTACACTCCCTGTCCTCCCAAATGTGACTTCTGTGCCCACTACACATATCTTCATGCCTAATCTACTCTTCTTGTGGGCGAGTACCAGGGCACTGGGTCCCAAGGTCAGTCCCACTGTCAGTGACCACACGGTACCTGCCCATCCCCTTCCCCACTGGACAGTGTTGGCATAGGGACTGGTCGGCTCAGCCTGCTAAAGCCCCACCCTGCCCCTCAAGCTCCAGTCACCTCTACACGGCCCTCGTGTATCCAGATGTGGACACAGGCTAGAATCCACACCCCCTTTCCCATCTTCTCAATGTTCTTTGCTTCCAGGCATTTATGAGAGTGATGACATCAGCTCCATCATATCCGAAATGGAAAAGGCTCTCAACTACTCCCAAAAGGTACGCCTTCGGTGTGAGCTGAGTTACTGTGCTGGCTTCTGTGTTCATTTTCTGGAGCTGCTGTGGCAAAGAACCACAAACCAGGTGGTTCAAAACAGGAGACAGTTCTCCTCTCACACTTCCAGAGGCTAGAAGTCTGCAATCAAGGTGTCAGCGGGGCCGTGGCCATGTTCCCTCTGAGGACTCGGCAGAATCCTTGCTTGCCTCTTCTTAGCTTTTGGTGGGGACTAGTGTTGCCATCTTTAACTGCCTGGATGTTTGTGAAAACTGACGAGGAGGATTTCCTGTAAGACTTGCGGAAGGGGAGAGAGCTTAAACTCCAAATGACAGCAAAGATAGCTGGGGAGTTAGAGTCAGCAGAATCAGGGGATGAAAATTACCAAGAGGGACATGATTGGATTTCAAGGGTAGGGAGGTTCTTGCTAAACATAGTGGTTGCTGCAGACCTGGGGAGGACCTGGCTAGCAGGGAGGGGGATCCCAGGGGCAGAGTGGTTCTCACTACAGTGACTTAGAAGGAGTCTTTGCTAAAACTGGATTCAGAAAGCCAAGAAGACGAACCTGTCTGAAGTTTCCTCAAGGAGGGAGCGCCTGTCACTGGCTATCCTTGGCATTCTCTGGCTTGTGGCAACACAACTCCAGTCTCCGCTCTGACTCCAAACAACTGTCTTCCCTCTAGGAGCATCTGTATCTCTTCTCCTCTTACAAGGACACTTGTCATATTAGATTTTTTTAAAAGATTTATTTATTTATTTGAAAGAATTTCAGAGAGGGAGAAGGAGAGAGGCAGAGACAGATTTTTCCATCCACTGCTTCACTCCCCAAATGGCCACAACAGTCAGGGCTGGGCCAGGCCAAAGCCAGGAGATAGGAGCTTCATCTAGGTCTCCCATGTGGGTGGCAGGGGTCCAAGCACTTGGGCCATCTCCCACTGCTTTCCTAGGTACATTAGCAGGGAGCTAGATTGGAAGTGGAGTGGCTGGGAATTGAACCGGCTGCTGTATGGGATGCTGGTGTTGCAGGCAGTGGCCCAACCCCCAGTCATATTAGATTATAGTCTAGCATCTGGTCTAGAGGTTAAGCCACCAGTTAAGATGACCCCGTCCCATATAGAGTATGTGGGTTGCAATCCCAGCTCTGCTCCTGATTCTAGCTTCCTGCTAATGTGTACCCTGGGAGGCAGAAGTTGATGGCTCAAATACTTGGGGCCCTGCCACCCATGTAGGAGACCTGAATTGAGTTCCTAGCTCCTGGCTTCAGCCTGACCCAACCGCAACTGTTGTGAGCATTTGGGGAGTGCGAATCAGTGGGTGAGAACTCTGTCTCTATTTCTCCCTCTTGGATAAAACATAAATTAATAATAAAGCTCCCACTCTCCTTCAATGTGATGTCAGCATACATCTCAGTTACATCTGCAAAGACCCCATTGCCAAGTAACGTCAGTCCCTGATGCCAGGAGTTCAGACTTCTGCATATGTTTTTGGGGGACATAACTCCTCCCACATCAGCTTCCCACCCTGTCCTGACCCCAGGGCTTCAGGTGAAACCTGACTGCTCCCTGTGAGTCCTCGATGTTCAGTCTGTGCTGCACGCCCTGACCTCCTTTGAGTACTTGGAACCCATCAGGCTCATTCATGAACTCATTCCTAATCTCGGCCTCAGGATTCATTCCCTTCCACGTCTTCCATGGCTTACTCCCTGTTATTCACAGCTCACTAGAAGGGTTGTGGGGCCGGTGCTGTGGCGTAATGGGTAAAGCCACTGTCTGCAGTGCTGGCATCACATATGAGCACCGGTTCAAAGTTCCGGCTGCTCTACTTCCAATCCAGCTCCCTCCTAATTTACCTGGGAAAGCAGCAGAAGATGGCCCAAGTCCTTGGGCCCCTGCATTCATGTGGGAAACCTGGAAGAAGCTCCTGGCTCCTGGCTTTGGCCTGGCTTGGCTCTGGCCATTGTGGCCATTTGGGGAGTGGATGGAAAACTCTCTCTCTCTCTCTGCCTCTGCCTCCCCGCCCCCAACAACTCTGACATTCAAATAAAATAAATAAGTCATTTAAAAATTAAAAGGGGGGTTGAGCAATAAAATATGTGATTAGAGAGGTAGGCAGATGCCAGACCATGTCAGGAGCCACAAGATAAGGGAATAGAGACGAGGCTATTTAAGGATGAATTGACTTGTAACTGTTGAAGGGTGAGGGAGAAAAAGAAATGCACAGTACCTCCCTTGGCCATTGCTGGGGGCCTGGAGGACGGGGCGCTGCTGGAAGTAGGAGGAGCCCCTGGGGGGAGTGCAATGCAGATGGGCCTAGGACACAGATGAGTGTGTGGGGCCTCTGAGATAACAAGGGAAGGTGTTCTAGGGGCAGGTAGAAAAACAGATGGGTGGGAGATAGAGATGTGGGATCATTCAAGCCATGGGGATGGACGGAGAATGTGTTGGGGGTCATGGTGAAGGAGCCCACCTCGCGTGTCCATCAGCGAGGATGTGTTCCCAGGACTCAGCTCTCCGGCTAGATGGGGGAGGGGAGGGCTGTGTCTCCGTGGCGCGTCTGTGGTTCCCCTAGGCACACCTTAGCCATCCTCCCAGACAAGGCTCCTTGCAGTGCCCTTGCAAGTCCCTTCTCCTAGGTCACATCAATCCCGTTCTCTCAGCTGACGGGCTCAGTTGCGAGGTGTTCACAGACAGCGCTGGCTTAATCCACCCTTCCTTGGAATGCTTACTTCCATTTGACTGGGGTCTTCTAGGGCTTTGATTGAGAATAATTAGTGGAAAACCTTTAGGATTGATTGAGAAATTTGTAGTAAAAGAAGCCAAGGACAATGCCATTATGCTGAGGGCATCTGGAGTCAGCACTGGACCCCTGGTGAGCTGCCTAGCACCTGTGTATACCGCAGTGTCTTACAATGGAAAGGGCGCTGGCTTTGGACTCAGACCCATCTGGGATTTTTTGTGGTTTTTTTAAAGTTATATTTATTTATTTATTTATTTAGATATACTTATTTATTTATTTGAAAGTAAGAGTTACACAGAGAGAGAGAGAGAGAGAGAGAGAGAGAGGGGTCTTCCATCTGATGGTTCACTCCCCAGATGGCCGCAATGGCCGAAGCTGCACTGATCCGAAGCCAGGAGCCAGGAACTTCTTCCGGGTCTCCCACGTGGGTGCAGGGCCCAAGCACTTGGGCCATCTTCTACTGCTGTCCCGGACCATAGCAGAGAGCTGCACAGGAAGTGGAGCAGCCGGATCTCGAACCGGCGCCCATATGGGATGCCGGTGCTTCAGGCCAGGGCATTAACCCACTGTGCCACAGTGCCGGCCCTAAAGTTATATTTATTTAAAGGGCAGAACATCAGAGAGAAAGGAGGGAGGAAGGGAAGGAGAGAGGGAGAGAGAGAGAGGGAAGTAATATGAACTTCTGTCTTCTGGTTCACTCCCCAAATAGCCATAATAGCCAGTTCTGAGTCAGATTGAAATCAGGGGTCAGGAATGCCATCCAGGTCTCCCATGTGATGGCAAGGACCCACGTGCCTGAGCCATCATTTGCTGCCTTCCCAGGTGCATTAGTAGGAAGCTGGGTGGGAAGCAACCAGGACTCAAACCAGCGTTCTGATATGGGTCAGTCTCATCCACTACACAACACCAGCCCCCAGCCTGGGTTTCAGCTGAGGCTCCTCTATAGACTAGTAGTATGACCTTGTGCAAGAACCTTAAATTCACGGAGCTTTGGTTTCTTCATCTGTAAAACAGGTGTAAGATAGCACCTCGCCTACCAGCATAGGTGGCATGATGGCTTGATACGCCCAGGCATGAACTGGCCCAGTGCCCAGTTCACCCAGACCCTCCATACCAGGGTACTTACTATTGTTAATAGGATTGGTCCACAGCACTCAGCCCCAGGTGGCATTCTAGAGACAGAAAGAGGAGTCCAGGGGAGACCAGGGCTCTCTCCTGCCATATGTGTATTTGTCTGTCTATCCTCAGTGGCCAGAGACTCTGCTAACCCTCCCAATCCCCCTTGCAGTGTGCCTTCTTAGTGGCCTCCCTGAAGAACCACTCAAAAAAGGAACTGGAGAGTGCAGCCCTCCCAAAGGAGAAGCCAAAGATACCCAAGCAAGGAAGTCAGCCCAAGAAATGCTGCCCTCCCAAGCCCACGGCCCCCGCAGTGGCCAGAACGGTTTGACTCCCCTCCCTAACAACATGCAGAGGATTGTGTCTCCAGTTTGTCTTTTGGTCTTTTCTAGATTTTCAAAATGGCTGGGGCCAGACTCTCAGGCCCTAGGATCTACAGGGATGGGGCAGCAGCTTCGGTGGCCAGTGTCCCATGGATGCCCCCTCCCCTGGCCAGAGGGAGGGGGATTCCCCTGGGCTTTCTTCTTCCAGGCTGTGGGGGCACCGTGCCCATGGCTCTGCCTGCCTCTGCCAGCTTTCTTTCCAGCCTGGCACTAAGAACCCCATGAGGCTGGCACCCACAAGTACCTTTGATGGCTTATCATAGAGCATCTCTTGGGGCAGAAAAATTAGAGTCTATGATGAAATATTGCTGCTGCTGCCCAATACCTACCAGGGATCTCAGGAATTGGAGGGTGGGCCTGTGCCTGCTGGGGACTTGTCCCCATTCACGACCTGGCAAATCTGTCTCTCATAAAAGAGCCCCCCCCCACATCGGCACTCAGAAGAGGCCCTAGAGGGAACCCCCACAACAAAGGTGCAAGGAACCCTGTGAGTTCTTTTTTGTAAAAGATTTATTTATAGGTTTATTTAACAGAGAGAGAGAGAGAGAGAGAGAGAGAGAGAGAGAGATCTTCCATCTGCTGCTTCATTCCCCAGATGGAACCAACAGCTAGGGCTGGGCCAGCCTCATGCTTCTTCCAGGTCTCCTACATGGGTGCAGGGGCCCAAGCACTCGAGCCATCTTCTGCTCTCACAGGTGCATTAGCAGGGAGTTGGATTGGAAGTGGAGCAACCAAAACTCCAACTGGCACCCATATGGGATGCCGGCACCACAGGCAATGTCTTCACACACTAAGTCACAGCACAGCCCCCTTTTAAAAAAAAAATATTTTGACAGAGTTACAGAGAGGGAGAGAAAGAGAGAGAGAGAGAGAGATAAAGATCTTCCATCCACTGGTTCACTCCCCAGATAGCCACAATGGTCAGGGCTGGGCCAGGCTGAAGCCAGGAGCCAAGAGCTTCATCAGGGTCTCCCTTGTTGGTGGCAAGGGTCCAAGCACTTGAGCCACCTTCTGCTGCTTTTCTCAGGCCATTAGCAGGGAGCTGGATCAGAAGCAGAGCAGCTGGGACTTGAACTGGCACCCATATGGGGTGCCAGAGTCACAAGCAGTGGCTTTACCTGCTACGCCACAATGCCGGGCCCATCCTCTGAGTTCTTTAGTCTCTCGCTGAGAGACTCTCCAGAGCGTAGTACCTTTTCAGAATGAGGAATCTATCCCAGACAGTATACACCATTCCCACCTGCAGGGCTGCACATCTGGGGGATTCTGTGCACACGGGCACTGCTTTCATTCTAAGAACTCTGCCAGGTGATGCGAGCTGGCCCAGGCATGTTGGCCTCTGATGCTTTCCCAAGTTCTGGGCAGAAACCCTGGGGTCTCAGGTTCTGCCTCTTGGGCTTCAGGGGTTCCTGAGCTAATTCAGTGTGAAGTGTCCTCTGCTACATGATAGCCTCTAACCAGAACCTCCTGGAACAGCCTAGGGGTGCCCTGGTCTCCTTAGCTGGCACCAGGACTGTGGTTGGCTTTGTCTAACTATTGCCATGCTCCTGCCTTAAAACGCAGGTGCTCAGTAGGGCACAGAAGTTACCTGAGTGGTTGCTTGGCATGCTGGAGGCCCAGAAATCCCAACCAATAGAAAGAGGGGCAGGTAACTGATGGAGAAAGCTCTGGCAAATCCCTACATCTCTCTCTCTCTCCTTCTCTGTCTGTCTCTCTCTTTCTCTTTCTCCATACACACACCAGCATGCACACACATTCATACACACTTTTTCACCTCAAAACCCAGAGTCCTTTCTGAATGTGCTGCCAGAGATGGGCTGAGTGTGTTCCTGATTGCCACATTGAGGTTGGGGTGACTAGGGGTACTGCCACCCATAGAGAACAGAACTGATGGGAAAGATGGCCTGTTTTCTAGAACATTCAGGATGGCCCTGACAGAGAGAAGAGCCCTTCCTTGAAAACTCTGAAATGGTGTCCACACAGTGGCAGAGCAAGTGCCTCCCCAGGTAATAAGTGGCTATGGTTGGGCAGGGAGGGTGGTGGTGGTGGTCCGAGGTTGGCTGGGCACAGCTGAGGCCTGGGCTGATGAGGTGGTACCTGAAATGATCAGTAGTCTTCAGTCTTGATCATCTGCCATACTGTTTGCTCAGATGGGCCGTCTTCAAAAAGTTAATAGAAAATACATATCTTGAAAAAATTATCCATAGATTTCAAAAATCTTTTGCCCCAAAGTGAACTTTTTTTTAAAGATTTATTTATTTATTTGATCAGTTCAGCTCTGGCCATTGCAGCCATTTGGAGAGTGACCCAGCAGATGGAAGACCTCTCTCTCTTTGCCTCCTCTTCTCTCTGTGACTCTTTCAAATACATAAAATAAATCTTTAAAAAAATTTGAGAGGCAGAGAAACAGAGAGAGAGAGATAGAGAGAGAGAGCGAGAGAGTGCCTACCCACTGATCCACTTTCCAGATGCCCACAACTGCCTGGTCAGGCCAAGGACCAAAGCTGGGAACTGGAACCCAACCCAGATCTCCCATGTGGGTAACAGGAACCCAGTCACCCAAGCCATCATTGTCCCCTCTCAGGGTCTATACTAGCAGGAAGCTGGAATCAGGAGCTGGAGCCAGACACCAAATCCACCAAATGTGGTCATCCTAACCAGTGTCTTAACTGTGAAGCCAAATGTCCACCCCCAAATTACCTTTTCCTTTATTTAAGAGCCAGAAACACACAGAGACAGATAGAGAGCGATCTCCCATCTTCTAGTTCACTCCCCAAATGCCCACATGGTCTGGACTGGGCCAAGCCAAACCCAGGAGCTGGTTTCTCCTTCCAGGTCTTCTGTGTGGACAGCAAGAATCCAACTGCTTGAGCCATCACCACTGCCTCTTAGGGTGCACACTAGCAGGAAGCTGGTATCAGGTGTGGAGCCAGGACTTAAACCTAACATGCAGTACAGCTGCCTTAAGTGCTGCACCACATACTCACCCTGACCAAACTAATTTTAAAGCTGCGGCCTGCAGTGCTGGCATCCCATATGGGCATTGGTTCGAGTTTCAGCTGCTCCACTTATGATCCAGCTCTCTGCCATGGCCTGAGAAAGCAGTAAAAGATGGCCCAGGTCCTTGGGCCCCTCTACCCCCATGGGAGACCGAGAAGAAGCTCCTGGCTCCTGGCTTCAGATCAGTGCAGCTCTGGCCATTATGGCCATCTGGGGAGTGAACCAGCAGATGGAAGACCTCGCTATCTCTCTGCTTCTCTGTAATTCTGCCTTTCAAATAAATAAATAAATCTTTAAATCCATTTTTTCACATTGATTTTGAAGTCCTCTATTAAAGCGTATGATAGTTAACGCTGTGTAGAAAGTGCTTTTGACAATCTGCATTTTTCTGGTAAAGAAATCCGGGCCCGGCCGGCGCCATGGCTCACTAGGCTAATCCTCCGCCTTGCGGCACCAGCACACCGGGTTCTAGTCCCGGTTGGGGCACCGGATTCTGTCCCGGTTGCCCCTCTTCCAGGCCAGCTCTCTGCTGTGGCCAGGGAGTGCAGTGGAGAATGGCCCAAGTGCTTGGGCCCTGCACCCCATGGAAGACCAGGATAAGTACCTGGCTCCTGCCATCGGATCAGCGCGGTGCGCCAGCCATAGCACACCGGCCGCGGCGGCCATTGGAGGGTGAACCAATGGCAAAGGAAGACCTTTCTCTCTGTCTGTCTCTCTCACTGTCCACTCTGCCTGTCAAAAAAAAAAAAAAAAAAATCCAGGCCCTCAGGGACTGAGGATAATGTGCCAACTGGTTATGTCCGAGCATTTCTCTTTTCCTGAAAGTATTCAGCTAAACCTAAAACTAGGTGTCTTGTTTCTAATGTCAAATGTCAAAGACATAGCAAAGTGGCTCAGAGCAGAGTTCTGGGATCAGCACGACCAAAGTGGAATCTTTGCTCTGCTTTGCACTAGCTCTGAGTTCACTTAGCTCATTTGTAACCCTCACTGAGGATGCCGTGAGACAGAACATGCACTGTGTTAGCATGCACTTAGCACCATGCCCAGTCGGGATCCACGCAAGGCCAGGGGACCAGGGGTGTGGGCAAGGAGTGCCTCTGCGCCATCTCAGAAGCACATTTCCAGGGGCAGAACGTAGCTGAAATTGAGACATCTCTAAGCCAGGCTGGACAGCTTCATCCCAGGAACCCACAAGGCTGCTCCAACCAACAAGCCTCATGTCTTCTAGCTGCAGCGGAGCCAGTGAAAGAAAGGACGACAGCATGGAGAAGGAAGAACAAATCAAGGGACACAGAGACTTCTGTCTCACTGTTCTATACAGAGACAGGGAATAACGTGGGTAAGTTGGAGGCTACCCAGTGTCAGACAGCCTCCTTGCCCCGTAGGAAGTGAGAGGGCAGCAGGCCCCATGGAAGAAGACCCCCTCCATCTGGCCCAGGACATGCAATCCCAGCAGGGCCTCAGGAGCAGGCCTATCCCCAGACAAGTCACTTCTCCCAGCCCAAATAAATGCACATACAAAGTCTTGACACCTGCCAGAGACAGAAAAGTCAATATTGAAGAGGAGATCCCCAGAGGTCCTTGGGCACTGTGGTTCTGTCCCCACAGGGCATTTCCTTAGCCCTGAGGCTGGTCAGGAAGGGGTAAAGATTCCTCTAGGCCAGGTTGATTGACTGGTGGTGAATGCTGTGAAATCCCAGCGACAGTTTCTTGCTGAGTGAAGGGAGGGCCTGAGAAGCCCCCTCCCAGGTCACCTGACAACCTCCTTTGCTGCCTGTCAGCAAAGTGCACCTAAAGAATTTCACTACTGGTTTTTTGATTGGCAGAGAAATTGACATGAAAGCAGGGCGATGGCAGGGAGGAGGAGGGAAGAGAGGAGCCCAGGATGACCCTGCTTTTTTCCCTCCTAGGTTCTGTGTACAAAAAGTACCCGCAAGGAAAGGGTATAAGAAGGATCAGAGGTTCTATTGAGTTGCCCAGAAAGGATGCAGTGTGTTCAAGCCAAGAGGTATTAAGTTATCTACATCGGCCATGCCCCCTAGGCAATGATTTCTTCCATTACTTCTAGGAAGGTGGGCATACTTGGAAATGAGCACAAACCTGGGAAGCATGCTTGCATATGTGGCCAATGGAATATGGGTTAAAAGATGTAAATTCAAAATCTGGGTCTGCCACATCCCAGCTGGGTGACCTTGGACAAGTCACTTAGCAATACTCAATGTCAATGTCCTTGTTTGTAAAATGGAGATGTGAGGATTAATTGAAACATATTCTGGGTATAGTCCTTAGTGGTGTCACTAAGTCCTTTGTTTGCAAGCAGCAGACATCCCCCTTCTTGTTTACAGCTGAAAGGTGCAATGTCTTTCTTCCCTGTCAATCAAAGTCTGAGCTTGGTTCTGATTGGGCCAATCCCGGATGCCGTGCTGTGACTGCTCTGAGCCTGCTGGTTCACAGATCTCTCATTGTGACCAGGATCTTGAGATGATCCTAATTGGTTTACAGTCTGAACTTTAGACCAATCAAGGATTTGATAGGGGAGTTTGAAATGAATGTTCAGGAAGCAACAATGTTTACTAGGCTGAGGACCAGGGGATGCTCCCTGAATGTCAGTCCCTGTATCCGTTTCTTGTGTAGCCCTCTCCCAGTGCTGGGAAAGGAATCTCCATGCAATGCATGCTCAAAGAGGACTTAGGGAGCCCACAGTTCAAATAGGAGGCTTTAATAGAGGCATCAGAGAACAGTCCATTAAACCTGAGTTACCTAACATAGAATTCTCTCCTTTGTTCCAAAGTGGGTAGCAAATTATGGGCTAAAAAAACTGAAGATGGAAATCTCTAGACACATCGGTCCCAACTGCACTCACCAAAAGTCAGCACAGAGGTCGGCATCAGCCAAATACTGCAGCTGCAGTGCCTTCCCCAGCGTAGAGATCAAAGTAAGTCACAATTTTTAAAGATTTTTAAAAATTTTTTCATTTAATTTAAAAGACAGAAAGACACACAGAGAGATCTTACATCTACAAATTCACTCTTCCAATGTTCACGACAGCCAGAGCTGGGCCAAACTGAAACCAGGAGCCAGCAATTCTATCTGGTCTCCCACATGGGTGGCTGGGGGAACAATCGCCCGCTGCCTCCTAGGGTGTGGGCTAGCAGGAAGCCAGATCTGAAGTGGAGGAGCTATGGACTCAGTCCCTAGTCGTGCTCCCTGATAGGGGATACAGGTATCCCAAGCAGCAGCATCATCACTGTGCCAAACACCCACCTCCACAATTTTTATTGTTGCTTTTCCCCCAACTCCCACCTCTTCTCAGCTGCAAACAGCAGAGAGCAGTGTATGACACCGGGGCTTCTATTCTTGGTTTTGAGAACCCCACACCCAAAATGGGACCACCCTTGAAATCCTGTTGGAAGGAAAATCAAGCCCCCAGAGGGCCTGAGATCCTAACTCCAGGGTCACGGCCACTGCAGAAGGGATTAGAAACGTAGGGCAGCAGCTGCTGTTCACCAGTGGGAGCTCTGAGCCCAAGCCCAGAGGAGGGCAGCAAATGGGAACCACGACAGAACAGCAGGGAGTCCTCTGCCGGTCCGTGGGGTGATGACTGGTCATTGCCAGCGCTGGAACAAACCAATTTAGTACAAAATGAAAATATAATCATCTCCCTCCTTGTCCTTTTAGAAACTGCACATCCACCTTGGGGAAACTAAAGATAGTCTCAAAAGGCAAAATTATTGGCTGAGGGATAACCAAGGGTCATTCACTCTGCTGTCCCGCTTCCATCCAAGGTCATCTTCAGTTCAGAATTCATTAGAATTCCCACTCCACCATTAATGGTTTCCTATTTTAAAACTCAGAGATATTATGAGATTTTTATTTGTTTGTTATTATAGTAACTGCATTTATCACAAAACCATCACCCTAATTCCCCTACTCCTTCATAGAACCACACATCTAGTAGTTTTCATTTAAAAAAAATGCTTTTAAACAAATGAACAAATAAAGTTTAACAGATGTTTGGGGCCTTGTTAGCCCCAGTGGAATAAAGTGCCTTCTGGGTGATGGGGGTTGGAGAACTTGCTAATGAGGGGCCGATGCCTCCACTTGCCTGCTCCCAGGGGGTGGTGAGACACATCCAGTGGACGCTCAGGGAAATGGAGGCGTACATCTCGCGCCTGGAGAAGCTGATGAGGCGCTACGTGCAGAGGCTGCAGTGGCTGCTGTCAGGTGAGCCTGCCCACTGCCCTGGAGGGCGGAGGGGCACAGGGGAAGTGGCAGGTTAACCCTGGGGCACCCCAAGGCTAGTCCTTTCAAGGCCGGGCCCTCACTGTCAGGTCAGCTACCATCCAGGTCCCACGTAAGTTCTGGGTTCAGAGGTCAGGCAAGGTGCGGGATGACAGTGAGGTGGAGCACGGGCCAAGCCACCCCAGAGTCACGTGTATCAGGCACCGTCCCACACTCCTCGCCTTCCTGTAGGAGATGGTGGAGCCCATCCCTGGAGGTGCGCTTCAGCATTTATTTATTTATTTTTAGATTTATTTATTTGAAAGAGTTACAGAGAGAGAGGGAGAGACAGATCTTTATCTGCTGGTTTACTCTCAAGATGGCCACAATGGCCAGGGCTAGGCCAGGTGAAAGCCAGGAGTCAGGAGCTTCATCCGGGTCTCCCACATAGATGACAGGGGCCCAAGCACTAGCGCCATCTTCTACTGCTTCTCCCAGGCCGTTAGCAGGAAGCTGGATCAGAAGTGGAGCAGCCAGGACACAAACCAGCACCCATATGGGATGCCAGGGTCACAGGTGGCGGCTTTACCTGCTGCACCACAGCCCCAGCCCTGGCTCTTCAGTACTGACTGGGCCCTGCTGCACTGGCCCCCAGCAGTGGGTGTGGGCAGGGGTCCTGAGAGAGAAGAAGCCCTCCTCAGTGAATGGATGGGGCTGCTGAGGAGAGCCAGGCTTCTGTCGCAGAGGAAGATGGGCAGGGGATTGAGAGATGGTCTGAAGCAGAGTCCAGGAGGCCTGGCAGCCACTCAGAACTGGACAGGAGGGGACTTAGGCTTTGGGGTCTGGGGGGATCCTGAGAGAGGAGGAAGGAGGGAGAGGGTCTTATACAGGAGTCCTCCAGGTGGCCTTGTGTGGGCCAATCAGGGTCCTGTGCATTTATTTGGTCCATGCCTCTGCAACAGAGCCTGGTACAAACAGTCCTTGGGCAGTGCCGTGTAGCTGCAACTGCTGTTTTCCAAAGCCCCTGGAGGGGATGGCAAGCTCCAGGAGAGGTCCATGCCAGAGGCTGAGGTGGGGCAAAGAAGGTGCAAACCTGTCCCCATGCCCAGCTCACATTTCCAAGTACGAGGAGCAGAGATTCAGCTACTTTTGTAGGACAAGTCTCCCATCTAGCCTACAGGTACACACCCAAAAGCCATCGAATGCTTCTAACATACCCAGGGAGACATCATTCATTTATTTATTTTTATTCAATAGTGTGGAGTACTAGAGAGAGGGCAGAAGGCCAAACCCAAGATGGCCTCTGAGCTCATGCAACATAATGTCTAGGAGGAGACAGACGTCAACCAAAGAGCCTCACAGAGACGTCTAATATGCATGGTGCATGGCAAGGAGGTGGAGCACAGACCAAAGAACCCCCAAGAGAATTCACGCCTGAGAAGCCCTTCCCCAAGAGGGGCAGTTGGCTGGATAGAAAGGTCCAGGAAGGCTTCCATGAGGAGGTGACATTTGAGCTTAGATCTAGAGACTGAAAATATGTTAACTGCAAAGAGAGGGAAGGCAGGTGTGAGCTGGGGTGCTGTGCAGAAGGAGGTGCTGAGTACAGAGACTGAATGGAAGCGAGTATGGCTGAGCAAGGGAGTGAAGGGAGAGACCCTCCTTGAGAGATGAGGCCACAGCACAGACTGTCATTTATCAAAAGCAAAGGGAAAGGGCTGGTGCTGTGGCTCAGCAGATTAAAGCCCTAGCCTGCAGCACCAGCATCCCATATGGGTGCTGGTTCAAGTCCTAGCTGTTCCACTTCGATCCAGCTCTCTGCTGTGGCCTCGGAAAACAATAGAAGATGGCCCAAGTTCCTGGGCCCCTGTACCCACATGGGAAGCCCAAAACTGGCTCCTGGCTTCGGCTCAGCTCAGCTCTAGCCGTCATGGTCATTTGGGGAGTGAGTCAGTGGATGAAAGAACTCTCTCTGTCTCTGCCTCTCTCTGTGTAACTCTGTCTTTCAAATATATAAAATAATCTTTAAAAAAAAAAAGGAAGGGGAAGCCATTAAAATGTTTTCAATAAAGGGAAAGGGGTCAAGTTAGCATTTGCAGCATGGAAATAAGCATGGTTGCTGCAAAGAAAACAAGATGGTGGGCGGGTAGAGAGGAATCAGAGCAAATAGCCTAGGCAGAAGAGTGAGGTAGCTGAAAAGGGGTCGTGATGATGGAGATGGATGAAGTAGGCAGAGGCAGGGAGATTCGAGAGCATAGTGACCTGCACTGTTTACACCAGCTGATTCCAAAGGTAGACCAGTAGGCCATTTGTGGCTGGGGTTCCTTCAGCTGGCTGGGCCTCATCATGGAGCCCCCTCTGCTTTGGGATGGCCCCCTCTTCTCCCCTTGCCATGAGCATGGCCAGACAACACCCCAGAGGGGTCCTTGAAGGCTCAAGGGCAGCATAGTCAGCTCTCAGTCCATCTGCACCTGGAGAGCTGGCCTCTTACAGCTGCTCATCCGTTTTCTCTGCTGAACCCAACGGGATCCCAGAGGCATGCTTTGGGAAGGCTGCACGTGGCGTCTTCTGTTTCTTTCCCTTCCCCCGTGTTATCTCCGTTTAGCCTTACAGAGCCATAAGGACTAGGGGTAGAGGTTGCCTCAACAAAGTGTGGGGTGGGGGGGCTGCTGAGCTCAGCTCTGCCTCTGCCAGTCTGTGTGCGGCTGGGCAGGTCACCCTTGGGCTGACCCTTAGCAGCCTCCCCAGCTTTAGCGCTCATCCCTTGGCCCCTGGGTGTCTCCAGTCCAGTGTGGTCTTACTCCCCACATGGCTCTCTCTGAGCTGCTTTCTGTCTGCCGGGGTGTCCACACCCCCACCTTGGCTCACTGTTGCTCCTCCTTCCCAGGCTTCTCTGCTCTCCACCCTGTATCCATCGAGTTTCGGTTCTCCTCATTATGTGCACCCATAACACTCCGTGGTCACAACCCTCGGCAGAGCTGTCATTATTTGCTAATGTCAGTCTTCCTTGCCTGATGGAAGCTGCACGAGGACTGGGACCCTCTCTTACTCAACATCGCACTTTGCACAGTGCCAGGTGCATAGCGTGTGTGCAGTTGATTTCTGTTGATCAGTTGACTGAAGTGCTCCTTGATGTTTTTCCAGTCCCCAGAATTCTATGACACTGTTTAGCCCAATCACTTAATCTCAGGGATAAGGAAACCCAAGTACTGGCAGGTTGGAACACTTGTGCAAGTCATCACAGAAAAGCCAGAGATGAAACCGTGAATCTCCCAGAGCCCAGACCACCGACTGGCTCTGCTCTGGGACAGCTGACCCCTCCCAAGCACTACAAAAGGCCATGTCCTAGAGAGGTGACCTCTGATCAGTGATTAGACTGATACAGCGAGGAGAGCCATCCTCACTCCTGTCCTGCCTCCGCCCCTACCCGTCCGGCGCAGGGAGCCGCCGGCTGTTTGGCGCCATCTTGGAGAGCAAAGTGTGCATCCTGCTGGACACCTCGGGGTCCATGGGCCCCCACCTGCAGCAGGTGAAGACAGAGCTGACTCTGCTGATTTGGGAGCAGCTGCGGAAGCGGTGTGACAGGTAGGAAGCAGGGCTGTGGGTGGGTGGGGGTCAGGAAGATCAGAGCTCCTGGGGCTTCCCAAGCACACTGCCTCCTCGTGGTTCCAGCAGGCCTGGGGCAGGCTGGAATGCTTTTCTGAACAGCCTGTTTAAGCAGGAAAGAACACCAAGTCTGCTGTGTTGCAGAAGGAAGGTGGTTCTTGGCAATCCATCTCGGGCTCGGGGACAACTGCAAGCTGAACAAAGGAGCCACCATGCGGCCCTGAACAGTGACCTTAGTTGAACTTGATCTTTAAGCAGAGTAGATGGGTTGTTTGTTCTGTCTGCCCAGAAAAGTTGGCCCTACAGAGACAGCAGGAGGCCCTAGTCCTAGGCTGGGATGCGTTCTTGCCTTAATATTAATGAGTAAGCACTTCCCATGTGCCAAGCATTTTACACGCATGATTTCTTCAGTCTTCACAATGACTCTGTGAGGAATTCAGTTATCACCCCATTATGCAGAAAAGGAAGCTAGAACTTAGCGGAAGTAATTTGCTCAAGGTCACATACAGGCAGTGACTGAGCTGGGATTTAAATCTATTTTCATCTGCACCCAGAATCTTCACAATGTGTAGCCTGTTTTTTTTTTTTTTAATATGTATGTATGTATTTGAAAGGCAGAGTGACAGGAAGAGAAGGAGAGAGATCTTCCATTCTCTGGTTTACTCTTCAAATGCCCACAACAGCCAGGGCTGCGCCAAGCCAAAGCCAGGAGCCAGGAACTCAATCCAGGTCTCCTGTGTCAGTGGCAGGGATCAGAGTGCTCTAGCCATCACCTGCTGGTCCCATCCCATCAGAACATTAGCAGGAACTGGATCAGTAGCAGAGGTAAGCCTCAATCCCAAGTATTCCAGTGTGGAATGCAAGTATCCCAAGCAGTGGCTTAACCTACTACACCACAAGGCCTGCCCCCATGAGTATCTTCTCATTCTCCTGTGGCCCAGGAGGCCACAGGGATCATTGTAGACATCTTCAGTGCTAGGTATGAGCAGTCTTCAGGGAAGTGACTTCACCTGAATTCAGTATACACTGGCTACACTGGCTGTTTTTTTTTTTTTTTTTAAGAATTATGTATTTGTTTGCCAAGTTGGGGTAGGAGAGTTTTCCTTCCTCTTGTTCACTCCCCAACTGCCAGGGCTGAGCCAGGCCGACGCCAGGAGCCAAGAACTCCATCCTCATGCGTGGTCCATCTTCCAGTGCATTCCCTGGCATATTAGCAGAGAGCTGGATCAGAAGCAGAGCAGCCAGGACTCAAACCAGCACTCCAGTATGGGATGCTGGCATCATCACAAGCAGTGGCTTAGCCTGCTACACCACAACACTGGCCCCCGCTGGCCTGCTCTAACCAGTCTTCTCTCCCCTATCTGCCCCTCCTCTCTCTGTTCTTCCTCCCTAGTTTTAACCTGCTGAGTTTCGCAGAGGGCCTACAGCCATGGCAGGACAGCCTGGTGGATACCACAGACGCAGCGTGTCACAAGGCGATGCAGTGGGTGGCCCACCTGCAAGCTCAGGGGAGTACCTCAGTCTTGCAAGCTTTACTGGCAAGTTCCAGCACTGTGCTGACCCTGTAGCCAGACAGACATATTGTCATCTCCTGTACTGTAGGATGTACAGGGTTACTTCATTTTATCTTCCCAACAACCCGATGAGAAAGGAATTCTCATTGCTCCCACTTTATAGATGAAGACACAGATGCTCAGAGAGGTTAAGCCACTTGCTTGGGGCTAACCAGCTAGGCAGTAGACCGTGACCTGTTTCCTAAACCCCAGCAGCTTCCTTGGTGTGTCTTAGACCGAAAGGGGGAGTCTCAGATATTTAATGGACAAATCGGGGCATCCGATCAGACACATTTTCCTTGGCGACAGCAGGGGCTACCTGCTCAGGAGGTGGCCCCTGCTCATGACAACCTTCCCACGCTCTTTCAGAAAGCGTTCAGTTTTCATGACGTGCAAGGCCTGTACCTCCTGACTGACGGGAAGCCGGACACAAGCTGCAGCCTTGTTCTAAATGCGGTCCAAAGACTCAAGGAGGAAAGAGACGTGAGAGTGCACACCGTGTCCCTGAACTGCACAGACAGGTGAGCAAGGAGGCGGGGCTGAACTTGAGTCTTTCCCTGTGGCCACACATGAGAGGACGGGCCTGGGCTCCTCACCTAATCCAGGGACTCATTTAGACAGTGGTCTCTCCTGGGCCCTGGTCCTACAGGCCAGGGATTAGGAGGTATCCAGTTTGCCTGGAGGGCCCAGGCAGGTATTACCCCACAGAGTGAAAACCCCTCTCTCCACCCTGAACTTGACCCTCAGTGGGTCTGCTCCTCTGACTTTCTCCAGCCTGGAAATGGATTTGTGCTGATTCACAGTCACATCATATTCTCTCTTCTGACCTTTCTTGGGAACACATTTGTGGCGATTAAGTGGAGGGAAATATAGCAGATGAGCAAAGCATCATGATGGTTGTTTTTGTAAACCATCACAATCAAAGAGCATATGTTAGAAAAGAGAGAATCCGCTCCTTCAGGAAAAACCCTGAGTTATTAGCAAAACTTATTCCTTAGGTGAGTATTTTATTTCTCCAACTCAGCCATGAGCTGCAAGAAGGCCACGTGTGTATTCCTCACGGGCCTAACCCAGTGGGCACTGGATAGAGGTCGAGTAAAGTGGGGGGTAGGCACCTGTGGGCTTTGAGGGGGTCCAGGCTAAACAGTGACACTAAGGTGCTGAATTTCCTCCACGTAAGCAGCCATGGCCCATGAACTCACCAGGAAAGTGGGCTTGCGGATGCTGATGACAGTCTCAATGGCCCAAACCATGGCCCATTGCCAGGCTGATTTCTCTTAAATCCTAGACTTGCATTCCTCAGGGGTTGCGGGCCCGGTTGGCCTCCCCCCAGCCCTCTGTTCCTCTCCCTAGAGAAGCGGTCGAGTTTCTGAGAAAGCTGGCAGCCTTCACTGGCGGGCGCTATCACTGCCCGGTTGGAGAAGACACGCTCTTCACAATCCAAGGCCTGCTCACCAAGGGCTTCATCGATGATCAGGTAGGCCGCAGGGCTGCTGAGTGCAGGGCCTGCCGAAACAGCTCAATAGAATGTCGATGGGCGGGGGTTTCTCCTTCCCACTAAAATGCTCGCTGCTTCTCTTCTAAGACAAAGTGTTCACTACAAGGGGCTGTGTTTCCCTGTGGCTCTCCTCTTAAGCTGATTCTCCTCAAGCTTGGTTCAGAAGCAGGGTTTAAGGGTGGTACTTAACAATATGGACCAGTTTACGTTCATTGAGCACTTCCTACATGAAGGTATGTCGCTTTATGTAGATTATATATTAATCTTCCCATGATTATTTTTTAAAAGATATTTATTTTATTTACTTGAAAGCCAGAGTGAAAGAGAAACAGAGAGAGACAGAGAGAGAAAGAGATCTTCCATCCACTGGCCACTACCCAAATGACCATCACAGCAGGTGCCCAGCCAAGCCAAAGCCGGGAGTCTGAAACTCCAGCCGGTCTCCCATGTGGGCTCTTGGGCCATCTTCAGCTGCTTTCCTAAGTGCATTAGCAAGGAGCTGGATCAGAAGCAGAGCAGCTGGGACTTGAACCTGCACTCCAATATGGAAGGCCAGTGTTGTAGGAAGTGGCTTAACTTGCTGCACCAAGATAACAGCCCCCCTCCCACCATTATTATACCCACTAAACCAACAAACAGGCTCAGTGAGGCTTAGGGATATACCTAGCCAGAGAACACGGGGAAGCCAGAGCCCACAGCACCCTTAATCTCTGTGTTTTACTTCCTGCATATTTCTGCCCTCCTGGGTTCAATTCATTGAAGCACAGATATTCAAGTTGTCTGCTAAGCAATGTACTTAGTAGCCACAGATTATCTGTCACATAATTAATCTAGTAAAGTCATAGGTTCCAGTGATCCTCTTCTAATGTGATAGAGAACTTGTGCACCATGCCGGTACTATGGCGCAGTGGGTTAATGCCCTGAGCGGGAGCACCGGCATCCCATATGGGTGCTGGTTCAAGACCCAGATGCTCCATTTCTGATCCAGCTCTCTGCTATGGCCTGGGAAATCAGTAGAAGATGGCCTAACTCTCTGGGCCCCTGCATTTGTGTGGGAAACCCAGAAGAAGCTCCTCTCTCCTGGCTTCAGATTGGCTCAGCTCTAGCTGTTGTGGCCAACTGGGGAGTGAACCAGCGGATGGAAGACCTCTCTCTTTGTCTCTACCTCTCTCTCTAACTGCCTCTGCTCTCTCTGTGTAACTTTGGCTTTCAAATAAATAAATAAATAAATCTTAAAAAAAAAAAAGGAAAGAAAACTTGTGCACATATTCTTACCTGGACAAAAGGCAGTGTTGTCAATGATCACATTTCTAGGGCCACAATTTATCAGGGAAGACTACCACACAGAAGCCCACATTTCTTTTCAGAGGATAAAGCTTCCTTTTACAGTACATGACATAAATTTTGAAGTCAGGGTGGCTCTAACATCACTGCTTTATTCAAGTCACTCTTCCAGGGACATGTATTGCAAATTATAACAAAGACAGCCGAACAAGTTGGTAAAGGCAACGAACAATTCACTCAAGGGTCCTCGAGACATAGGAAAGCATCGACATGGGGAAAGTGCTCAGTTTAATATCTCATCCTCTTGGATTTTTGGATTGTTTTTTTGCACGCAGAATGGGCTCTCTCTACCCCTAGGAAGCAGGGCAGCCTTGTCTCTTTCACAGAACTTGTTAACGTGAGGATCCGTGTTTCTAAGGCAAGGCTCTGGAATTGCACTCGTTAACATCAGACGAAAGGGTGTCTGTCTCAGTTTTATTAGAAGAAATGGAGAAAGGGCTGAAGAGGCTTTACTGAATAGCAGTAAGATAAGGAACACATGCATATCTTTTGGGGTTTTTTTTCTTCAATTTTTTTATTTGAAGGGCAGAGAGACAGAGAGAAAGATCTTTTATCTGTTGGTTCACTCCCCAAATGTCCACAACAGCCAGGGCTGGGCCAGGCCAAAGCCATGAGCCAGAAAGTCAATCCATATCTCCCATACAAGTGGCCCCTGTACTCAAATATCTAAGTGCTTCAACCATCATCTGCTGCCTTCCCAGGAAGCTGAGTCAGAAATGGAGCTAGGACTGTAACCAGGCACTACCATATGGGATGCAGGCAGCCCAAGCATCAAATTAACCACTGTGTCAAACACCTGTCCCCGCACCTACCAGGGAGGCGCCAACTTCATTAGAGTTTGAAGACCATCTTGGTTTGCCATAGTCTCCTCCATACAATGACTCTCACACATTTTATTTCAGTGTCCCATTTACAGAATGACCACCTGAATAGGTAGTGAGTTTCCCACAAGCTGAGGTCCACAAGGAGTTCTTGGCCTGGGTTGGAGGCTGCATTTAATTATCCTTGACATTCTCTACTTGGGATGTTGGATTTTCAAGTTCTGCCCAGTGAAGTTCAAATGGATGAAACTTTACACTCACTTCCGGTTTTCCAGGATCCCCCGTTGCCACCATTTGAAGGAGATGATTTAAGAAGATTGGCCCAGGAGATCACCAAGGCCAGAAGCTTCCTGTGGCAGGCCCAGTCCTTCAGGTAGGCCCTTCAAGTGCCCCTGAACCTGCCCCGTGGCTCCCAGCACAGCCAGACCCTGAGTCTCATCAACAGAGGGCCTACTTTGGTCACAGCACCCTTGTTCCCAAGAGCTCCTATCCCATCTCCACCCACCAAACCCAGAAATCTGGACACCAGGAGAACTCTCTTCCTCATCTCCTGCCCACCAGGTCCCAACTCCAGAGGAAAAGCAGCACTGACCCCCAGGTCACTGCTTGTTAGAGACGTGTTCTCAGGTAAGGGGCAAAGGGTGGACCTCCCATCTGCTGAGTGCCCAGTGAGGGCAGGGTGCATGCTCTATTTGTGGACAGTCACACCTCTGGGGAAGGGTTCCTCTAAACAGAAAGGCCACACTACAGAGAACCACTCACTAAGCACATCTGGGCTCTGAGGGCAGCCCCACACAGAAAGCTGTGACCCAGGTTGTCCACCGGAAACACGACACCACACCCAGGACTCCCTGGAAGTTGAGAAAGGAGAAGCTCTGGGTTTTGTGTATGGGGCCCTCCCCAGGTCTATCCTAAGTCGCCTGCCCTGTCCCTGAACTTACCTTGCACTCTAACCACAAGATCACTGCTCGCTGAGAAGCCCCACGGGAGCCCCGTGCCTGGAACACCCTTCTTGCCACCTTCTGCCCGATGACTCCCACTCACCCCCCTGAGACACAACTCAGATGACATCAGCTCCCGTGTGAAGATGTCACTGGACCCATCTGGAGCCGGGAGTCTGCAGAGTCGGGAGCCTCCAGCCTTCCTCTCCCAGCAGCCTAAGCCGCCATGCCTCTTACTGCATTTGCCGTTCCATCTCACAGTTCCTTGCTCACTTCTCTAACTCTTCTTGCCCGTGTGTTCCCTCGGGATGAAGCTGGTGTCCTATTCATCCCTAAGTCCCCAGAATCTGCTGCATGGCAGACAGGAAGGAGACACTGAGCGCTGGGCCGAGCTGTGAGAGCCCAGCTCTGCAAACAGCCAGCCAGGGCTACTTCTGCCCTGGTGCTCTCTGTGCTGCCCCTGCCCTGGGGCACGAGGCCCACGCAGGTTCAACGTCAGCCCATCTTACTGCAAGAAGAAACAAGTGAGCCTCTGCCCCACCCTCAACCCTGGCTCGGCCAAGCTGGACTGAAGGTTGCTCTGGAACGCAGGCCGGAGTAAACGTGGCTGGAGCACATGACAATTGGGCAGGTGGTGGGGGCCTAGTCCCACCGTGCATATAAGAAGTGAATGTGTCACTGTTTGGGGTCGTTTTCTAAAATAAAAATGCTTTTATTTTCATTAATGGGATCATATAACTTTGTTTACGTGATCTTTGGGGTGGGTTTGTAGATTTTCGGTGAGAAAACTTTATTAAAAAACTCATAGCTAGGTGTGGACATATAGCCGAGTGAAGACGCCTGTGTCCCAGTTCAGGCAGGGGGAAGTAAACCAGTGGGTAGGAACTTCTTCTCTCTCTGTCTCTCTGCCTCTCAAATAAATACATATGATTTTCGAATAAATAGGGGCCAGCATTGTGGAATAACAGGCAAAACTGCCACGTATAATACTGGCATCCCATATGGACATTGGTTCATGGCCCAGCTGATCTACTTCCTATCCAGCTCCCTGCTAATGGCCTGGAAAAAGCAGTGGAAGATGGCCCAAGTGCCTGGGCTCATGTCACCCATGGTATGACCGGGAAGAAGCTCCTGGCTCCTGGCCTCTGCCTGGTCCAACCCTGGCCATTGCAACCATCTGAGGAATGAGCCAGGGGATGGAAGATCAATTGATTCCCTCCCTCCCTCTCCCTCTCCCTCCCTCCTCCCCTCCCTCCCTCTCTCTCTCTCCCTTCCTTCTTCCCTCTCTCTAAAACTCTAATAAAATCTTTTTAAGAAATTTAAAATAAATAAATAATGAGACTCATAGAGACTCATACCTAGACTATATAAAGACCTTTAAATCAGTGGATAACATCTCTATTTTTTTAAAGTGGACAAAACACTCAAATAATTACAGTGGAAAACATGAAAAATACTCAACAGCCTTACATCAGGGAAATGCATATTAAAACCACAATGATGGCCAGCGCCGCGGCTCACTAGGCTAATCCTCCGCCTAGCGGCGCCGGCACACCGGGTTCTAGTCCCGGTTGGGGTGCCGGATTCTGTCCCGGTTGCCCCTCTTCCAGGCCAGCTCTCTGCTGTGGCCAGGGAGTGCAGTGGAGGATGGCCCAGGTGCTTGGGCCCTGCACCCCATGGGAGACCAGGAGAAGCACCTGGCTCCTGGCTTCGATCAGCGCGGTGCGCCGGCAGCAGTGTGCTGGCCGCGCTGGCCATTGGAGGGTGAACCAACGGCAAAAGGAAAACCTTTCTCTCTGTCTCTCTCTCTCACTGTCCACTGCCCACTCTGCCCTGTCCAAAAAAATAAAAAAAACAAATCAAAAAACAACGGCAATGAGACACCACTACACACTCACTAGAATAGCTATAAAGAAAAAGACCTACAATATCAAAATATGGAGCAAGTGGATTGGGGTGGAAGTGGGACAGTATAAATTACTTCAACCACTTTGGAAAATTATTTGGCAGTCTCTACTGCAATAAGACACATGCCTACTCTTGTCCCAGCAATTCTACTCCAAGAGAAATGATAATATGTGTTCCACAAAAGACAGCTAATAAAAAGTTTATAGCAGGTTTATGCATAAGAGCCCCAAGCTGGAAACTACCCAAATGTCCATCAGTGATAGAATGGGTAAAGAAATTGTGGTACATTTATACTGTAGAATACTACACACACACACACACATCAATTAAAAAGAATGAACTACAAGAAGATGCATCAATCTTATGAACAATATTGAATGAAGAATCCAGACACAAAAATTATATACCATATACATATGGTATATAAGTCAAATTATGTGAAATTCCAGAAAAGGCAAAATTGACTGTTGGTGGCAGAAGTTGAGAGAGTGGCTCCTTTAAAAGGCAGCAGTGCTGAAAATGCTCTTTATCTGAGTGATAGTTCATTGGGATGCAATAAAAACTCACGAGGTTGTTTGCGAGCACTTGGTTTGCCAGGCTTGGCAAGGCCTGCACTACCCAGAATGCGCACTAGGCCCAGGGATATGATGTGGAACACAGCCCCAGGCATGGTGAATCCCACCCTGATCAGCCTTGGACAGCTGCCTCTCTGGGTCACTTCCATAAACACAAAGAAAACGGCTGGTGGCAGTCATATTAGTTTGCTAGCATTGTCATAACAAATGCCACAAGCTGAGTGGCTGAAACGAGAGAAATTTATGATGCCACTGCTCTGGGTGCTGGAAGTCCGAGATTAAGGGACCAGCGGGGCCCTGTTCTCCCTCTGAAAGTGCCAGCGCCATGTACCATGCTGCTCTCCTGAATTCTAGTAGTGTCGTGGCTTGCGGCAGCACGACTCCAGCCTTCCCCTGATGCAGTCACTGTGTGTACGTCCATGTCCAAATCTCTCTGGATAAGGACACCAGGCAGACTGGAGTGGGGGCCCACTCCACTATAGCCTCATCTTAGAACGAATTACATCTGCAGTGACTTGATTTCCAAATAAGGTCACATTCTGAGGTAGGGGGGTGGAATGTCCCCACTTGAGTCTTTCTCGGGGACACAATTTGCCCCTTAACAGCTGTGTTGTAACCTGTGCTTCTCCTTGCAAGACAACATCAGTGGCTGCTACTGGGGAATATGATGAGTTCCCTGGCCCTGCCAGTGGAAGCAGGGCTGTACTTTGTGAATGGAAGTATGGACGAGCAGTAGCTTGTGCAATGGTGAAGCACAGGACCTGGGTTCAAGTCCCAAGCTTTCATGTAATGATGATAATAGCTACCAATGGCTTAACTGGCCAGGCTCCATGCTTAGCATCCTGCATATATTGTTTTAGTTATGAACTTCACAACAGCACACTGTAAAATACACACCATGTTCAGTTGATGGGTGAGGAAGCCGAGCCTTGTAGCTGCCCTAAGACACACAGTAAGAAACTGGCACAATCAGGATTTAAACCTGGTATTGTACCCATGGCCTCCACTCCCCTACACATATTGAACCCCCTTTCCTAAATCTGTGTCTAAAACTGAGCTAAAACAGGGTTGCAAGAACTGAACATAGACCTCACCTCTGGCACTTAGCAGGTGCAGGCTAGGATCTTGTTTTTCTCTTCATTGCATGGAGGGCACTTTCCGGTCACCCTCTTTCTGACCATGACCAAGCGCACAGCCCCACCTGCTCTCAGCCTCTCTGGTTGTACTGCAGTTGTTAAGCGAGGGGCTGGGCACACGCCTGCCCCTCTGCTGCTGCCACCTAAATGTGGGCTGCTAGGGACAGTGTGACCCAAATGCATCCTCAGCCCAGGGAGAAGGGCTGCACTGAGGAAGTGCCCATTAAGCATGGTCTCAGAGATGGGTGGGGCATGCAAGAGAGGAATGCTAAACAGATGAGTGGAAGGGAGGAGAGAAAGACATGTGGAAGGAAACAGATGGCTGGCCGGCTGGCTGGGTGGTGGAAGACTGGATGGATGAAGCCTGTTGGATGGCGGAGAATGAAGAAAATATAGATGAAGAAAATGTAGATGGATAAACAGGTACATATTTGTTTTTTTTTATATTTATGTATTTATTTGAAAGTTGGAGTTACACAGAGAAAGGAGATGAAGAGCGAGAGCGAGAGAGAGAGAGAGAGAGAGAGGTCTTCCATCCACTGGTTCACTCCCCAATTGGCTGCAATGGCCAGAGCTGCGCCGACCCGAAGTCAGGAGCCAGGAGCTTCTTCCAGGTCTCCCACGAGGGTGCAGGGGCCCAAGGACTTGGGCCATCTTCCACCGCTTTCCCAGGCCATAGCAGAGAGCTGGATTGGAAGTGGAGCAGACGAGACTCGAACCGGTGTCCATATGGGATGCCGGCACTGCATAAAGCCATACAGCGGCTTTACCCGCTATGCCACAGCGCCGACCTCAGGGGTACATATTTGAATGATATATGGAAAGATGGATGGAATGACAGATGGATGGATGGCTAAAAGATTTAGTAAAAAAAAAATGAATGGAAAGATGGCTGCATGGGAAAGGGATGGTCGGAAGAACAGGTTGGATGATGGACAAAATGAGGGAGGGAGAAGAGGAGGAAGGGGAACAGGCAGGCTGGACG